ATACACCTAAATCTGTAACGTGAAGATACATAAGAGTGAGTGAGTGAGTAAACATTTAACGTCACATCGGCAATATTGAAGCCATATCGTGACGAGAACAGTTTATATCAAAATTCAAATCAATAAATGTATAACGTAAAAACCTGTCATCGAAGGACAGTAAAACTAGTAGAATATCAAAGCTCTCAATGTAAAACTAGTACGCAATCATAAAAATATATCACGAGAGACAACAGTACAACAGGAGAACGGGCTATAGATCACCTGCAACCACAGATTCATAAGATTCAGTGCAGAAAAATATACATAAATGCATATTATACCTACGATCTTGTTTCTAAAATGCATCCAAATGTTGTGGTGAACAAGAAGAAATATCACAACTGTTGCATTCCGGGCTCCCGCGCCCTGGGTATAAACGGGCCTGCATGACAAACGCCGGTTATATAAAGCCACATGAGTACCCCGATATGATTTTAGGTGTTCAATAACCGTTTCAAGAACATTCATGTTCATCATACCCTTCAAAAAGAGGAATTAAGAAACGCTTAACAGTGTCTGTCGGTGTAAATTTGACACCAACGAATATGACTGACTGACTGAGTTTGGTTTTACGCCGCTTTTAGCAATATTCCAGCAACATCACGGCGGGGGACACCATAAATGGGCTTCACTCATTGTACCCATGTGGGGATTCGAACCCGGGTCTTCGGCGTGACGAGCCAACGCTTTAACCACTTGGCTACCCCACCGCCCCCAACGAATATGAAGACACTTGACACTCCTAGTAAGACATTCTTTCCCCGAGGAAACACTCTTCCAGGCCATCTTCATTACATCATTTGCGTGACCATAATCGACATGGACGAGCAATAACAAACAAGGTTCACATAATCCCAGCTGATCTATCTTGGTTCGCTGTCGACTTAGGACGATGGGAATCAGATGTCGTCATTTTGTCGGACCCATGCTAACCCAAATGTACCGCCAACAACTAGTTTACGTTTACGTTCGATTGTGTCAACTTGCATGAAAATGTTTTGCAGCAAAAGTGGTTCGCAATATGCACCTTGTGAGCAAGGACATTGCCGATTTTAGGCCATTTGTTTTTAGACGGTAATTTGCATTTTTTAGCTTAATGAAAGGTGAGGTGAAATTGGGAGTAACGTCGTGCTTGAGAATATTTCGCTCATATGAGGATGTGTATGTGCAGCTGGTTTTATAGTGCTAGCCCACTTAGATACCATGCCGCAGTGAAGCATGAATACCCCACTCAGACGCATTATACTGACTCCGAGCCGAACAGAAATTGTAGTCATTAATGCCGAGCGCCAGGCGGGGACCAACAAGTACCATATTTTAACGTCTTTTGGTATGACGCGGTCGGGGATCGAACCCCGCGACCTTCCGCTCTCCGGGCAGACGCTCTAACCACTACACCACGGAGGCGGTCTAACTGAAAGAATATCATTATGCCACGACTCATTGCTGCAAATCGAAACATTGTCATTGGACATCTGGGGAGGTTGGGGGAGTCGAAATCTGCTGTGGACGTCCCCCAAATGTTCACCAGAGTAGCATCAAAGTTTATGGGACCTATATCAACAAAGCACTCTTACGCACGATCGGCCTCTCAGCAGTAGACCTCGGAATACCACTGCATGCCAGGATAGGTACATTATGGTACTTATTTTTGCTGAATCGGAATGTCACAGCAACTGCAAGTGCAGTGTGTAGTTTGAGGAGAGTGTCGGCGCAAACAATTCGTAATCGTTAAAGAGAAGCTCGACTTCGAGCCAGAAGATCCGAGTGTGGTCCTGTGCTGCGACGACTACATCGACGTCGACGGATCCAGTGGTGCAATACCGTTCGATTCTGGAATCTACAAATCTGTCGACGCGTATATGGTTCAGTGACTAGACGGAAGCGTACGTGTCTATCGACATCGAAATAACGTTTTGCCAATAATTGTGTCGCTAATATCCTAAACGCAGACACTTTGTGCGCCTTCAGGGCAGTTTAACTAAGTACCGATTCGTTCGTACAGTATACACTGATCCACAGCAACTATACTAACAATCTCGTCATTGAATCGGTTCTGCTGTGGACAGTGTGTTATCTCCCGCTAATAGCTGGTTAATAACATTATCTCAAAATAACAAATCTCATCCGAACAACATGCTTTAGGCCTGATCGTGGTAGAGATCCAGTATTAATGCGCACGTGTTTTCACCATGAGATATTTTAAATTGAAAACCATTATAGTATATTTTGATGACGGTTTGATGCGCGCGCACACACACACTAATGTGAACATGGTTTCCATGACAAATTTGCCTCTTTTGAAATTTTTACCCCCACGTGTATCAGTGTGTGGGTTTGAGTGAGTAAGTGAGTGAGTGTACATCATTGTGAAGAAGGAAGACACCATCATCTGTGATACGTTTAGTGAGTATGTGTAAGTGCGAGGTAGGAAATTGGCTCATTTGACTAGGATGTCAATAACACCATAGTCAGTATTTTAGGTGAAGTGTGTTTAAGACTTATATACCAATGATGGTTATTGTGTGATCATAGTCAGCACAGTAGCTGCACATTACAACCTGTAGTCAAGTATGGCAGTAATGGTATGACCGCCAACAATCGTGAGGGACGATAAAGGTATGAAAGAAAATTTCTAAGTCAACGTTTTCATCATTAATTCATAAAACCGTGAAACATCATTCACACAATGGGGCATACTGCATGTGTATCTCCAAATTGCGATTTAAGGGAGTGTGTTCATTCTGTACAAATGTTATTACGGTAAGAAATGAACTATTCTTGTCTTTCAAAATTTGTATAAGCTTTGAATTCTAACAACTTGAAGGTATAATCAACATTTAGTGTTACATCATTTAAGCTTTGACAACAAAAACTAAAACAAATCTGACAAGCACTTAACTGTTTGTTCTTTGTTCGGATCCTGTATCGCGCAGTCATTCCCCGTAAAGAGGTGCAGACTTTCGACACGCCATAAACCTTGTGTTGATCTCTCAAATTATGTTTCCAGGTTTAATGTTTCACGTCTGAGACCTATCTCGCTTCGGATCAATGTCCTTCGATATTATCATGACACGCCGTGATATATACTGTTGACAGCGGTCTCCAGTTCAACTCACACACTCACAGACCCTATTTACTACAGGCTGATTGATGAACTAATCGTTGAACCAGCGGTGTACTGTGCATTGAGTTCATCCGTTTGCGATGGAATTCAGCATACTTATAAGACAGAGAACATATGCCGAGTGCATCGCTCAAAGACTACTCACACAACACAAATAAGGCTACAAAAAGCTCTTGTTTATTTTCCAAATAGTTTCCACAAGTAGAACATGAAAGAGTGTGAAAGTAGGGTTGTGTCAAGAGGGAGAATATCCTAATTACTATAGAAGAATGGGAATTAATTTGATATTTTCCCTGCAACATGTTTATCTATACTAATCGATACAATCATGTTTGTTTCAGTGAGTCAGTGAGGTTAGTTTTACGCCGCTTTTAGCAATATTCCAGCAATATCACAGCGGGGGACACCAGAATATTTGTTTCAGTGAGTCAGTGAGGTTAGTTTTACGCCGCTTTTAGCAATATTCCAGCAATATCACAGCGGGGGACACCAGAATATTTGTTTCAGTGAGTCAGCGAGGTTAGTTTTACGCCGCTTTTAGCAATATTCCAGCAATACCACAGCGGGGGACACCAGAATATTTGTTTCAGAGAGTCAGTGAGGTTAGTTTTACGCCGCTTTTAGCAATATTCCAGCAATATCACAGCGGGGGACACCTGAATATTTGTTTCTGTGAGTCAGTGAGGTTAGTTTTACGCCGCTTTTAGCAATATTCCAGCAATATCACAGCGGGGGACACCAGAATATATGTTTCACTGACATGCACAAATACATGTATATGTCTATAGGATGGGTGTCAAATGTAAATACCAAGGTTATAACAGAATATGAAATGCACGCTATGTAAGTATAGAAAAAAATATGTACAACATTCACGCTTCATGCCCCCTGTTGCATGTCAGTATGCCGCTCGGTCTGCATCCATGAAAAGGCGAATACCTTTCTCATGAGAGAGCATCCATGAAAAGGCTGATACCTTTCTCATGAGAGACATGTTGCGTGTGCATTTGCATTGCACGAAATGAGTAATGTGTTCGTAAAAGTATAGTTTGTATTATTCAATAAAAATACTATTCAAATTGAATAACTATATCTTATATCATATGTTGAAGAAAACAAAACAACCGGTGCACCGTGGGATAGTGTTTGGTTATACATCTTACCATTCTTTAGGAAACATGAATGAACTGCCTTCAGTTTAAGCTTACTGTTTGTGTGGACCAGGTCGACAGACCATACAGTGACATAGTGTTTGGTTATACATTTAACCATTATTTAGGAAGCATGAATGAACTGCACTTAGTTCAATCTTACTGTTTGTGTGGACCAGGTCGACAGACCACACGTGTCAATAGCGGTAAGAGTAACATGAATCTCACTAAATCCCCGATATTGTGAATTTAAAGTCAGAGTGATTTCATCATTCTCTGTTAACAGCTTGTCTACAATATCGGCGCCTCCGAGAACTGTTCCAACGTGAACTTCATACTTCAGGTCGTCCCAGGGAGAAGCAAACATATTCCGCCAGGTGACGGTCAGTCGGTCGCCAGTTTTGACCACAGACAAACGGCCAGAAGCTGTGGGGAGATGTTAAACACGTGTATATTGTCATTCACCATTAACTTGACCGTAGAGGGCATGACCCACTAACCAGCAGATCTATGTTGCATTGGCAACTTACAGAACTGAATTACTTTTATGAAAACTATCCATAATTTTAGATAGTGTGACTTATTTTATCACGGTTTTTGAGCAACATAATCTAAGCTATCTGGTATAGACCTGCATTTGTTTGGCAAGATTAAGCTGTTTTACAGCACAAACCACATACCTGTTATCGCTGGAGGAAGCCCATGCACCGTGAAGTTCAAGACAGTTGTCTCTCCGTGTGTTCCCATCCCGTCAATAGGAAAACTGAGGGCATGATACGTCGCTCCATACTTTAGTGTTACACCCACTAATGTGGCCAAGGTGTACTCCAGATGGACGGGGACGACATTCTGCTGTGTCAGCGTATCTCCCTCAATACCAATCTGAAACACCAGCAACTGCTGTAAGTACTGGTTTACTGTAGCTAGTACCCCAAGTACTGTTTTACTATTGCAACCACAGGAAATACTGTTTAACTATAGCTACTACTGTAAGTACTGTTTTACTGTAGCTAGTGCTCCAAGTACTGTTTTACTATAGCAACCACAGGAAGTACTGCTTTACTATAGCAACTACTCCAAGTACTGTTTTACTATAGCAACTACTCCAAGTACTGGTTTACTATAGCTAGTGCTCCAAGTACTGTTTTACTATAGCAACCACAGGAAGTACTGCTTTACTATAGCAACTACTCCAAGTACTGTTTTACTATAGCAACTACTCCAAGTACTGTTTTACTATAGCAACTACTCCAAGTACTGTTTTACTATAGCAACTACCCCAAGTACTGGTTTACTATAGCAACTACCCCAAGTACTGGTTTACTATAGCAACTACTCCAAGTACTGTTTTACTATAGCAACTACTCCAAGTACTGTTTTACTATAGCAACTACTCCAAGTACTGTTTTACTATAGCAACTACCCCAAGTACTGGTTTACTATAGCAACTACCCCAAGTACTGGTTTACTATAGCTAGTGCTTTAAGTACTGGTTTACTATAGCTAGTACCCCAAGTACTGTTTTACTATAGCAACTACCCCAAGTACTGTTTTACTATAGCAGCTACCCCAAGTACTGGTTTACTATAGCAACTACTGTATACGTAAATACTGTTTTACTACAGCAACTACTGTCATCATAGTAATCAACAACAGATGTATGTAGATGTAATTATTGATGTTTCACGTTCCTTGTTTTCTGATTTTGTGATGATATTCAGTTTACCACTGTTTTGAAATGTCGGCTGGTTTTGTCCCATCGGAGTCGGACTTTCTCCTGACTCTGGTGACACATATCCCTCTCACTGTACACCGACTGACTTTCTCTCAGGACACTGAAGCCAGGAACTGATGTCTGGTTCCTTGTCTGGACCACTTCAACTCCATCCGACGTCATGGCCGCCGCCAGCCCCGCCTTGTTGAAGCACCGGACTGTGGTGTAGACTGTCACAGATGACGAGTGGATCTTGGAGGCGATGTCATGTTGGGCTGTGGACTGACCTGGGGGGATCCTCTCAAACTGTTTCATGTCGCTGCTGCCTCGTGTCCTCCCTTGTCATTGAACAAGATACTAGTACATGGCGTACGTACAAGAAATGGTAAAGATGTTTGTATATATATGAATACATTAGGACTATGTTTAAATACTGTGACGCCAAACTCGCTACACGTGGAACTGTTTCCATCTACATTCCATATAAATCTCAAACAATGTCCATTTACTACAGTAGTGAAGACACGCTTCATCCATAAAATTTAATTATACCGTATGGTTAAGTTTGGATTCCTGATTACACATATGTCAACCAAATATTTTATCATTTGTGGCTTGCAAATGTCAGGAATTCCCTGAAATATATTTCATATTGAACATTCATATTGTATTGATTAATTTAAGGATTGCCTGAATTTGCGTCTGACATAAGATGTTTACTCTTTGAAAGTTACCACGAAGTGCACGTCTTGTTGCCATGGATCTTTCATTCCAGCGACTTTATGTTAAACAACACAGAAAATGCTAGCGTTTAATATTGTTGGCAATGAAGTATTCCACGTACCAATAGCCCAGTCGCAGTGTTCTACACCTGATTCTTCATCTCTGACTTGCCAGTAGACACTCACCACACCTGATGTCTGATAGTCTTCATCTCGTCCTGGAACAAAAGTAAACACTCAATCTGTGGCAATGAAGCAGCTAAATTACCACGTTACGAAGAACTCTTTCAATTATTGCATTTGATGTAATATTAATCCATCAAGAGTTGTAGACCTGCACTTAGTTTTTATTCATCTGACATATATATAAATTTCAAGTTTACCATCCAGACCATCACTGATGAGGTCGAACTGTGGTGCAGTCATGTCTACTGTGATGGCGTCAGAGTATGTCACAGCTGTCAGCCCAGCAGCATTCGTCGCCATGACAGTAATATAAACAGTGGCGCCATGGAGCAGTTGCACATTAGACAGTGTTCCCTGTGTGGCTCGACCTAGGTCCGTGTAGCCCTGGACATGTGTACCACCTGGAGTTGTGCCTGGAACACAAGGACCTTTTGATTATACGAACGCACAGAGTATGATATGATAAGTAACTTATACACGGACTAACATACTCAGGAAAACGAATAAGGGACCACCTGAAAGTACGAGTGTTCCTTTATTCTTTTCCAGGTTTCTTCACATGATTTGTGTTGTACTGTAGGTGAAATTCTGGAAAAGAATAAAGTAACACTTGTACTTTCAAGTGTTCCCTTATTCGTTTCAATGAGTATATATATCCTCATTGCGATAACGGTACACTGAAACAATGATGTGTTGATGAGCTCCTGAAAGATTAGAAAGAACTGTCTACATTAGCGAGTGAGTGAGTGAGTGAGTGAGTGTGTGATGGTACGCTGATTTTAGCAACATTCTAGCAATATCACGGCGGAGGACACTATAAATGTATTTTACACATTGTACCCACGACGTGAACCAAAGCCGGGAATCTATTTTGTCACAATTTCAGATCTGGTCCTATGTCAGAGATTATGCTTTCCTCCCCATCCCCAGTGATAGTCGTTGAAACAAATACGCAATATTCAAGTTAACATATTATTCTTGGATCTATAATATCGAACATTTACCATCTCACTAAACTACACAGTGTTGCATTTACTAATTCAGAAAAGTCAGTTGACGTAATGACAATAAATCTAGTTACCAATCGCCCATGTGTACTGTGTAATTGGAGATTGTAGGTCCTCGAAGTGCCAGGAAACATGTAGAGATGACCAGTGTGACAGGAACACAGAGTGGACCACCAGATGCTCCTCGGTGTCCACACTGTCCTGACCAGCAACATAGTCCACAGTCTGGACACTTACATGGTCTAGTGCAAACTCCATCATCCTGGACGATGACGTTATCTTCAGCACTAGACTGGTATCTACGGCTGTGAACCTGTATGTGTGCTTGTTCCACAGGACGACTGAGTGATCTCCGACAGTGCAGGTGCCTCTACAGAGGTTAGGGTCCAGGGTAAAGCTGAAGACTTCACTTCCTATTGTAACTATTGCATCAACTGATCTGTGGGTGTTGGAAACAGTCTCTGGGTATCCAGCATGCAGAGTCAGCTTGTACTGCCTCCCAACCTCAAGACCTGAGATCATTTGTTGGATGCTTCCAATTACGGACACAAACTTATGTCCATCTTTAGCTAAAGGTGAATCCGGCGCCTGAACCTTGATACAGGACGCTATGTCAGTTTCCCATGATGTTGGTATGACGAGGTTGCATTTCGTGGTAGTACCAATTATATCGTCTCCCTCTAAAGATGGGTTCTTAACCAGATTGTCTCCAAGATATGCTACATCCTGACGTTCAGGTGGAGATGCATCAACAACGACTCCATCAGAAACAACAACATCTGAGGTGTAACCAACAGCATCCACAGCATACACCTTGCTCCATATTCTTGTACCTGAACACAAGACAATGTGATCATGTGATAGGTATATACGTATTATCCCATATCTAACATAAGTGGCACTAACATAATGTAGCGTTCTATATTCACTGACCATTTACGATTGGAGACAACAGCGACCTCCTAGAAGATGTGTGTAGTCCTATATCCAACCAGTCCAACACACTGCAATCTGATGTGTCGTTGCTTGTCCCCACACACCAAAAATACTTGATTATTGTGGAGTCTGTGTCCGAGAAGCCGTACCAGGAGGCGGATGCTTCGGATGTTGAACTCTGGTAGTCCAAGTCATGGATGCCTGCATCAATATTCAACAGTATGAAAACATGCATAAAAGTTTAGTATACTGTATATATCATACCTCTGTTAATACCATATTAAGAGAGACGAAATGATCTACAATATTACGAACCACGTCCATCCTTCACTCTGCCTGCCACTGGAGGCATGACGTCCACCTGTACTCCATCAGAATAGGCCCAGCTGACCAGACCAGCCTTGTTGTAAGCCAGGACACTGCAGTAGTAGACGGTGTTTGGAAGTAAAATTAGACCTGTCGCTGTATAGCTGGCGGAGGTCAGCTCCTCTGATTTGTGGATACTGTGACCTGCATCCGAATTGGAAAGTTACACGATGGTCTGTTTAAATAGGTGATTGCAATTAAATGTCATTTGGCAAATTTAGTCAAGAATGGGGTCCTCAAAATTCGACAGTTATACGATTGTCTGTTGAATTAGTGAATTGCAATTAGACGAAATTCGTCAAATTCAGTATTCAAAATACCTCCTTGCACAGTGCTGATAAAGACCCTGTATCTGAGGATGCCGCTCTGACCCTGAAGGAACTTTCCACTCCACTGCACAAACAGAGTTTCGTTCTGTGTCTGAAAGTCTGTATCTTTGGTGTCAGTTGGGTGTGCAAGCTCTTTCACCTGTGGTAACACAGCAGCGCTAAGTCACTCCATCTAAACACATTCACCTTCTACAACACTGAAACCAACAGCAGCTCTGTAAAGACATATGAACAATCTAATAGCAGATACTTACAGCTTGGCCCATCTTGACTGTTACTGTGGGTGGTGCCGTTTGGATGAGGACGCCATCCGATTTGAAGATGCTGTTGGTTTTGTTATACCACGCTCTCACAAAAAAGTAATAGTTCACTCCAGATATCAGAGACTTGCCTGCAAATCATCATGACACGTATAACAGCTGTTTACGTATATTGAGATTGTTGAAGTGCTATGTCGATTAGTGATTGAATTGATACCAACTGATTAAAGCTTCAATATGAGCATGTTTCTGTCGTGTGAAGTTGTGCACAAGTATGATTCACTCTCACCTGCAGGTAATGAGACAACAGCAGATGTTTGTAGACCTGCATCAAACCAAATCCTGTCGGCCGTGGCGTCAAACACTCCCATTGGCTCATCACTCTCTCCTCCGCCTATACTGTATTCATATCTGTTCCAAAGGACAAATGTTACAGACAACAAATAACAAATAACACGTGTCAGGATGCATCTGTGAACTCATGTAAATGTTACAAAGTATGCATAGTGCGTATAGAACGGCTGCTTACCGTGAAACAGATGATCCCCCTGACGAGTCAGTCCAAGTGGCAGCCATGACGGTGTTGAAGAGACTGACGTCGACGTCATTAGAACCACCCGGAGACATGACGTCCACCACGTCTTTGATTGTGATATTTTGATCTGCTTCCATCAAGATGCAAAGGGGTTGAAGTTTTCGTTAGAAAACGGAAATGAGGGTTTCTAGCAGCTTAATCCTTCCTGCTCTGTTAACCTGTTGTGAGTTTATGTACTGGCCATAAATGCAAGACACGTGTAAGAGATCTATAGCTACGAAAATGACTGAAATGTGATATTAGGTCCTAATCCTTGTTCTGTTTGGTTTCCCGTTACTCCACAAACCTGTTTTGTCTTGTGCACATGCTTTACTGGCAGAACAGGTACCGCCCTGCACTGCACAGACACAATGTCCCTCACAGTTGTAGGCCTGGCACCTCCTCACCAGCCACAGAGTAGAGTCTGCCTTCAGGACCAGTTCAGCGTGGTAGGCATCACTCTGTAGTCCAACCTAGAAGTAGAATTGGATACAATCATGCTTTGAGTATAGGATAACTTCAGTTTAAAAAGTTTAAGGACAGTGTCAAAGAACCTACCCCATTCACACCCCAAATAGCTACAAACACAGATCCTGATGACGGCAGGGCACGACTGTGTACTGTGAAACGTTGCAGGACTCCTTCATCACCTTTGTTAACACCCGAGTCACTATGGAAGACCTTCTCCGGTAGTGTACCCTGCAATAAATAAATGTGTGTGTATGTTCAAGTTGGATCAGTATTTCCTACTTGCACATTTACACCGTGTAAAATTGCACGTAGAATGAGTGAGTTTAATTTAACGCTGCACTCCGCAATGCTTCAGCTGTATGGCGGTCACGTATAAGCAACTCTTATTTCTGTATATGAGTTATGCGATCTTTTTTGTCTCTTACAATCATCTCACCGTATTGTAATCTGTTCCGAATTCATGAGATCCTATTGTTACAAGGTAATGGTCCACCCCTGAATGTAGGTCAGAGAAGCCAAGCCACGCCAGGTTCAGTCTGGTCCTGGTCCAAGTCATCCAGCCAGTCGGATGTCTTGCAAGTTTCACTGCATGGTCGGTTTCTATGGCGAACGTACCTGCAAATTAAATATTATTTCATCATCATCATTGTCATCGGATTTCTAATAAGAGTAAAATTACCGTTCCGCAATCTGTTCCGTTGGAGCACAACAAAATCATACCTGTATTTGGTTTAGAGCTGTCAACTAAAATGTTGTTTGTATGTGCCGATACACAGAGACCCGCCATATTGCACGCGGTAACCTTCACCTTGTATTTACTTCCATCATGCAAGTCAAGGTTCACAAAAGTGTATTCTCGAAGTAAACCAGGAACCTGGAATACAACATACATGGATGAATAGATGAACGTTCAGTATTTCTGTGTACTGACAATATTTCGTGGTCACTCTTCAGCTTGAGTGAGTGAGTTTAGTTTAACGCCACACTCTGCAATATTCCAGCTATATGGCGGCGGTCTGTAAATAATCGAGTCTCGACCAGACAATCCGGTGATCAACAGAATGAGCATCGATCTACGGAATTGGGAAACGAAGACATGTGCCAACCAAGTCAGCGAGACCACCCGATCCCGTTAGTCGCATACGATTAGTACCGTTGCGATAAATATGGGTTGCTGGAGACCAATTCTAACTGAATGCCAAATATACTGTGTTTTATCTATATAAGACAAACCTTTACCTCAAGATTAGAACTATCTATCTCTCCAAGCTGGTGAGATGATAACGAGAGGTACTGGCGTTCTATAGCGGACTCAACGTCTTGGAATTCCCAGTGTAGACTCAGAGCTGTCCGACTGACTGTAGTGTTGGGAACAAGGGACATTAAACTTCTCACTGTCGGAAGTGTAACCACAATGGGAACGCTGTCATCCACCAGTACCCCATTAGACATGGCCTCTGAATAAAGCCCTGAAACATGATGCAGTGTTTGTCACGATTTTGACTACCTCTTACATCTACAAGTCGACTGTTCTCGTCAACCGTCTGCAACATACCTGCTTTGTTGAATGCCCGGATAGTGTTGTACAATGTCCGTCGTACGGGCAACTGTTGGTCATGTGACAGGGTGTGGAAGATGACCTCACCCAAGGCTGCAGTGCGGGCTGAGAGAATGTTGTCAGCTCCTGGTTTTGTTCCGACACGCCATTCATAGTAATCTAATCCTGATTCAGGGTCGCTGAAGCCTCGCCACTTGCAACCGATGAATGTCCTGTGAAACATACCAACTCTCTGTAAACACTGCATAGTTCCAAAGTAATTTAATGATATTTCCGTCGAGATAGAACTGCTTCTACTTAATCATTTCTACGAAATACTCTATTGTAATACCAAATACTCCTTATCACCTCGTCGCCTGGAACTGTATGTCCATGTCGCCTGTACCATCCTGCACTGTTCCAGGAACTGGTGGGGAGCTGTCCAGGATCACACCGTCTGAGGTTGAGGAGCTGCTGCAGAGGCCTGCTGTGTTACAGGCTGTCACTGTGGTGAAGTACTTCACTCCTGGGGGAGAGCATGATGTGCTGTAGGCTGATATCTGAAATTGTATTGTATCGATATGTTTTTCTTGACATTATTTTAAAAAAGCACAGTCGAGAAAGCAATGAACAATCCTCACATTGATGTAGCCCTGTCTTGGCTTCTTTCATTTTGTCGTCACATCCTGCGCAGGTTCCGACCTTGACCTTGTAAATGGCGACACTTGAATGAGGATCGTCGAAGCCTTCCCAGTAGGCTGCCATCTCGGAGACACTGGTGATATAGTCCTTGTCTTTGTCATCATGTGAGGCAGCTGACTGTACTCCGTCATAGACGTGGCCAGAAGATGGAGGCGTGGTGTCCACAACCAGAGGTCGTGATGAGGACAGTGTGTACAGACCTGCACCGTTGATGGCCTGGAAGAAGGACATCAATAAGATTGCCCGACATAAGTTAGGACTTCAGACCGTTCTTTATTTATTACAAACAAGGTTATATTATTATTTGAATCTTTAAATCAAAGACGATTGTCTGTTTAACTGAGATAGACTAGACTCCTACAACCCAGCTACCTCAACGATCGAGATCTACGAATAAACGAACACTCGGGGATCATTTTGTGTCATGATTATTTGTACACATGAAAGAAAAGAAGATAGAAACGTCCAAAGCTACCTTCACAGTTATATAATAAGAGTGACCATCCTCTGTTTTATTAAGTGTGTCAATGTCCAAACAATCCTCAACGGTCATCATGTACTCTGACACATCAGTATACGCAAGTCTGGTGCCCATAGCAACGCTGTATGACTTTATTCCACTTTCCTCGTCTGAGAAAACGTTCCTCCAGCTGTGGAATATATCAACATTGTTGATGTTCCAGTGTAGAATATTACTCCATCAACATTTGCCTAGAACAGGACATGAAATCAGAAAGGTCGTGTGACTTCTTCAGTGTATGTTTTGTCCACAACTAAAGTAAATATTGAAACCTAAATATTTTGATAATTAATGTGTGAGGATATATTACAAGTATACCTAGCACACAAAGTTTATTATTCTGTATTGTACATTTGTGAATGTTACCCATATAAAACAATTAGTTAAAGAATTCAACACATAAGAATAATAATACAATCAACAGAAAAAGAAATCAGTGTTAATAGGTCGAGCAAGTTTGGCAGCTATATATGAATATTTAACGTTAATCCGACCAGAACTGGACATGTCAGCTTCAATAAGAAAGTCAGTACGTTATCTACAGATGCAGAGTTGTGGAAAATTGCTGCAGTTGTACAGTAATCTCTAGTTCTCGACTAAGTTTGTGTTTAGAATTGAAAACATGTCTTGTAACAAGAACAAATGCAGCCTATGTATTTATTGACTCAACAAGGTCGGGAAAAATATTATGAAATGTATTTTCGTATAGAATGCTAATTTTGTTCGAGAACCCAACATATTAGCATCAACCTGGCCCTTTTTCCTTCAAAGGTTTCTCTGAAAACATCTGTACGAGCTCACATGCCACTTTCTCAACGTTACCAGACATGTATAAGACGAGATGTAATGTATCGTCCCTCCACGTCAATGTGTTGCCCTGTTGGTACTGGAGGTGTGGCGTCGACAAGGAAACCCCCTGATACAGCAACTGTTGTCTTCTTCACAAAATCTGTGGCTGAAAGAAATATTATTAAGAGATAAGACATTGCTTAAGAACTGAAGCATTTTTTTTAATGCATAGCATAAGTTGAATGTATACCCATGATGTATTCATCCTGTGTCCAAGACATTGAAAAATGCATTGATGTCACCTTTGTTAGATTTGAATGAAGGTTTCAAAACTGCCACAATAAAACATATTTAAGTCTGTCACGTATACCTGGGCCTGTGTTCCAAAACATGGAGTTTAGATGAACAAAGCTGAACTTTATCGACCTTCAGCTTACCTCTCACTGAGATATAGTATGTACTTCCAGTCTGCAGGTTGAGCCTGTGTAGAATGTACTTGTTTACATATCCAACACGGGTGTAAATGACAAGATCTTGTCCACCAGGGAAAGTACCTGAAGGTAGAAAACATTTATCTATCAGGAATGTCATACGTTTACCTGAGACAGTGATAATTGTCAAGGAATTAAAATTGAATACGTTATATGGTAGAGCAGCGTGGACAAATTGTTCAGTTCATTACCCACTGCAACTTCATAAAAGGCAATCCCAGCAGCATGAGCAGAGAAACCTTCCTCTTCCACATCAACAAAAGTTGTCCAGCTAATTGCAACTTCTGTTTTGCTAACCTGTACATGAGAAATATATCAATATCAGTGTACTTGCCTAAATCGATGGCTCTACTGTAGTTTCAGCATTGACCTCACACTAACAACCAAGTTACTTTTTATGGTATCGAAACCAAAGGGAACATTATTTAACATGGTTCAGTTAACCTGAAATGTCCCGTCTATGAGATTCTCTATGTTCACTGTCCCCGGTGTAGGTGGAGTCAGATCGACAGTGATGCCGTCACTGCAGGCGTTCACTTCAGTCAGAGGTGATGTCCACTTCTCAAAACGAGTGTTTTTGTCATCAGCATGGATGCACACATAAAATCGCCTGCCGTGTTGTAAGTAGGACAGCTCTGCAAATTCCACGTTGATGAACTCGTTCACTTGAAAAAAAGGAAAAGATGAAGGCATGGATGAATGCGACATCTTTTATAAAAGCCAACACCCTACGTTTTTACGAAATATTGTTAAAACACTAACTCACCCGTGTGTCCACACTTGATGACATCCGGCATGCTACAGGGGTCAGTGACGGTCATCAGAGTCTCCCTCTTGTAGTGAGACGAGGGGTCTAACTGGTCAGCTACCACCACTGCCCAGGTGTAGTTCCTGTGGTGTAGAGTCGGCCACACAGCAGACAGGATGTTCTTGTAGGGAGTGTAGTCAGCATCATTCCAGTGACTATTCTGATCAAAGGTTATTCCTTGACCAACATTTTCGTTGTTTGTTCCTGTAATGAATCATAAATGTACCCCTGGGATGTTTCATCGACAGAACATTCAGTTCGCTAGCCTTAAAACGTACAATTAACGAGGGACTACACATTTTCCTGAAACTTATTGTAACCACGCACTTACCGATAACATCTAGGACAACTGCAGGCACGATATTTGGAGGGTTATATGCTGCACATTCTTTGACATCTGCTGACACCGTTGTATGTAAACCAACGTGGTTGTAGCCCCTGACTGATACTCTTCTGCACTTGGTAAAGCGAATCAGTTTTGGCAGGTTTAGAGTGAAACTTATCTGAAGACAGGAGAAGAAAGTGGTAGCCAACGCATATACCATTTTGTTCACTGATATCGGAAAGGCATCAAAGGTATACAGAATAGATAAATAGTCCATGAACAATTTTACCTTGTCATCAGCCTCACTTTCAATAGCATCAGCATCCACTGTCTGCCAGTCTATCAACATTTTGTCGTTGTGACTGTCATCTGTAAGACCCCACTGGTATCTGTCCATGACGTCATAAGCTTCTTGTAGTACTTTTATATCAGGATCACGGAACCGAGCCATCTTCACCTGGATCTAAAACACCATGCAATAAATACCATAATAACATAATACATTCAGATGGAAAGAAACGGAACGCTTGGAAAGAAATATGTAACTTGCCTGTGCTTGTCCACTGTCAGATTCCCGATACGTCAGCGATATATTGCCTGGTGTTGGAGGATGTGCTATGACAGTCACGCCATCACTGTATATGGGTTTAGAACATACATTCACTACACAGAACTTGACAGCAGCTCTGTAGGTTGTCCCTGGTTCTAGATGAAGACCGCTAGCCACCACCATATCCGATGTTCCAAGGGGCTCAAACTCTCGTTCAATGTCCCATAGGTCAACTATAAGAATAAAAGCTGAATGGCCAAATTGCAACTTTTCAGCAGTTCATTATGCATTTATAGAAACGACGACAACCCTAGTGCACTATTGTATATGAGATATACAGTGTACAGTAAACGTTTTGTGGCGTTTATCTTACAATACATCTCTTCTGTCATGTACAATGGTGAAATAATATCACACCAATGTAGAAGGAAGCACATTATGGATTAAACATGACCAGTACTTTACTGGATATAGTTTACCTAATTATTATACATTTCCAGCAGGGAAGTTAAAAAGTAAAATTGTTTAATAAACCACTCGGCCTGAGGACAATCGTGACTATGCTTATCTTTTTGTCATAGAGCAATCTTCACATACCAGTGCGAGGAACTTTCTTTTGCAAACTCCATTGTACATCAGGATAACTGAGCAGCCAGTTGCTTGTATCCCAGTGGGCCGCATATGATGAAGTAGATACTTGGTATGTGTTGTCTCGTGAACATCTCTGTTAAGACATTCATCAATACATTTAACCTCTCACATAGAAGACCACAAGTGTAGCGACTTTGCATCACACAAGCAATATGTTACTTATATGGCTAAGGATATTATTTCATGAGCGTGAGGGACACACAATTGTATTTTCAAACCGATCGAGGAATATATACAAACACTGACTCAAGTATCGTAAAATCGTGAGGATACACGTTATAAAATCTTCATGAGAGACACTGTTCGTCGGTGCGCTTCGCAAACAAAGTTTGATAAACACATTCTGACGGAGTAGGAATTGCAGAGTTTTCTTATGAATATGTAAAAGATTTGTTTTTGTTTGTTGTCGAGATGTGTCGACTTCCATACTGAATGCCTTGTTGATCAGCTAACGCGGCGACATAGACTGTGACGGCGTTGTGACGTGCATGTTGCGAACCGTATGCACAAAATATCCAGGTAAACGGATAATATGTGCATGGCTATACCTTGATCACATGCACAACAGCCTACTAATTCCAGTTCCGTAATATCTCACTCACCGTCTGGTTTACTGCACTTCGGAGAGCACCATTCACTAAAATCAGATTTCGTCGAAAACTCAATTAACTGACAACTAAGAACATAAATTGACTTTCTAGTGGATTTTAGTTCACATTAGTTCAGTTAGCCTAATAAGAATCCTGCGGTTTTATAATTTTTAAAGTGTATCAAAATAAACAACAGAACTTCTGAAACTAATATTTCTAATTATAAAATATTCTTTCGTTCAATCGTGTTTTGTGCTGAAAAGCCATGTCTTTTATCATTTCCCATAGAAACTGTCACACTTGCAGAATTATAGAATTACAAGTTAATTTTTTGTCGTGTCGGACAATTTGAAACTAGTCCTTATCATACGGTTAAGGTTAAAACATTTGAGTTGCAAAATCTGAAATCATATATTTGAGAATCATTATAATCATAAAGTATATGCAACATTTTAATGCAATTTTTCGTCATCCATAACAACTACAACAAATACCATAATCACTGCATCCTAGGCCATCTCTGACAATGACATCTGTGATGTCAACATTGGGCCTGATGATCGTCACCCCGTCAGAGGACACCGTCACGTCTCCGCCGCCATCGGTAGCAGCCACGACAGTCACAAAATACTTCTGAAATTAGACAGAGGCGCCACTTCATTGTACATATACAATCCTGTAAACAATAGAACAAACCATAGTTTGCAAGTGTTTCAATCAACATCTGTTTACCAACCGTTTTCCAATGCAGGCTCAAACCAGTGAAAGAATGTAAGGTTGCACTTCCAACATAGACATGCGCCTGGATATCTGTTGTAAATGGCTGAGACCCAATTCCAACCGTGTACGTAATGGCAGTTATTCCATTGTCAAATCCATACCATCTCGCTGTTAAAGTTCGGGTTGATATTTGGTAGTCTGTGTCATCAGTACGCTGAAAGTATACAGACATATTTATTTCTTCCATGGTCATCACACATACTACAGGGACAGTGTTTTTATCGAGTATATAAAACAAACATTAATAGGAGTCATAGGAGTATATTGTAGTACACGAGTTCATGAGGTAATGAATGATCTACAAACATGTAGATATAAATAATGCAAACAGAAAATAATGGAAAGAAAACATTTGTTGTATAAATAGCAAAAGATTCAAAAGCAAAATGTATCCAGTTGAACATGACAAGAGTTGTACTTATGGGATATAAGAACTAAAATAATGATCTCAAAATATTCAAAGGCTATATCCCTTTCTTTACACGTCAGCATAACACTATCTTTACACCAGAAACTCACGAAACAATAACAGGCTGTATAAGCAATGAAGTGTCCTACTAATCACGACATTTATGACAATACGTCTCGAAGACTATAGTTACTGACTTAATACGTGATGACAGAAATATCCACTATCGACAAAAAGAAAGCTGAATTGTGTTTGAAATATGATTAACGTGATCGACTCATGCATATCATGTAAAATACAGATTATATTAATCACTAGCATAAAATTGTGTGAACCTGTTTTTTTCGTGATATGATATTCAAACACACATTCGCGTTCGTTTGCCGAATACGTGATTAATAACATTAAAGATACACATACCGGTATTGTGAACAAGGATTCTTCTCCAGCTGGAATAACGTCTTCTACTACACCACGTAACGGCGGCATGACGTCATGGACGTAGGGTTCAGACACTGCCACTGTAGACAGTCCTACTATGTTGGTGACTCTGACTGACACAAAGTAGGTGTGGCTGTGATGGAGGTCCCAGTGGAGGTCTGTGAGGGCGACAGCTGTACACGTGGGTGGCGACGTCAGTGTACAACCTCCTCCTGACTGCAGCGTCGTGAAGGGCATTATTGTCGACTTGCCGTCCTTAGTTCCTGACGAAAATCACGTGTGTGTAATGGCAGGTTCATAGGCATTTGAAATAAGATGAAGGATATTAGAGCGATAACGACTGCACATACCTACTGTAGCTTCATATTTTAGATACCCAATGTCTGCGAATGCTGTCTCTGGCCAACGTGCAATCAAATAGTTGTGTCTCAGCGTCACTGTCACTGATCCAGTAAATGCAGGGTATCGTGTATACACGGTGACAGGTCCAACAACCTTTAATGAAAACAGTTACATCTGGTCATTTCGTTCATATACGTGTGTTTACGCAAAGAGTCATCAGTCCAAAGAAATTGATGCATATATTCTTCATAAACATACAACGTGATTCTCTTTTGTGCCCTTACTCTGACAGTTGAGATGCCAGCTTTGTTGATGGCCTTGATGGCGATGTAGAACTGTTGCCCCTCACTGAGACGGGGATGGTAGCCCTGATACTGAGGATGATGATGAGTGGACGTGTAGGGCAGGATATCTGGAGCTGCTTCACCAGAAGGATCTGACATCAGCCCCAGCTCGTAGTCATAGATACCACTCTCAGAGTCACTGCCAGTCCAGTTTACGAAGAGCTGGGAAACAATCAAACACTTTACTGAAAGCAGTGCACAGTTTATAAATAGACGACACATGATCAAAAACTGAACTGACATACGGATAAAAACGTTGTTACTTGACACAGATAATCAAATACTGATATGATAAGCTGGAGAAAACATTCGTAAGTTTCACAAATAATGAGTAATAAAATATACACAAAGGGGTGTGCATGTTGGTACTCACGAGGTGTTCCCTGTAGACATAGAGTAAGTTGGTGAAGCTGACAGGCAATGCTGGTAAAGATTCACACTCAGGATTGATCCCAAGTTGCATCCCACTTCCATTGTTGTACCGATGTATTGGAAACAGGGACAGTCTCTTATCACCTACTGGCGTGGCCTTGGAACTGGAGACAGTTACATGCAATATCTGTGTGATGCCTAACTGTATACTTTATACTGGAGTATAGGAAACGATATTAATGTTGCTTGTGAGCTACTGATTGCTTATAATGAGGACACTGTTTAACGATAAATAGGTTTCGAGTTATCCTCGTTACCAAATGACTATTTAATTACAGATAGAATTTGATGTTGATGAGACAAACTTGAACTGGTTGTGCACATGAGACCAAAGTCGGCTAATCATGACGTCGACGTTCACATCGTGAATATAACATAAATTGCATTCATATCGGGGGGAAAGTAGGATTGTCTTATAAGAACATGTGCGTAGCCTTGAGTTCAGATGTAACATCAAAACGCAAATCATTCAGGATAAATTGTCGTTCAAGAATTAAAAAGACGGCAATGTTCCTTCCTCTAAATAAGACAATGTAAATTGCCGATGACATCAGCCCCGAACATAAATCCAGAATAATGTCAGAAAATATTCAATCAGACACAATGCTAATTTTTAATATGGCCCAACAGTCACCTGTTGCATATCCAGTTGTTATCCTTCTGGTATCAGCATGATGTGTCCTGGTAATTATTCAGGCACAATTACAATTAAGTTTTTAAACCTCCAGCCGGATTTCATCTTTCGTGGTATCATGTGAAAATGAGAACCATAATTAAGTACTTCCAATAATAATGGAAGTATGACGATCACACAGGACAGTCACGTATCACAGAATTAGAAAAAAAATACAAAAGAAACGCATACACTTTTCACTAAACTGTTGTACCTGCAACTGCCATCTGGATTGACCACCCGGGTACGTCTCCTGTGGGCGTCGATGAACCACACAGTATTATCTGATGACTTGACCAGCCCCTCCATCACCCTGGAGTCTCTCACTGCCACCTCACTGACACTGGGTGGTGTTGTGTCTACAGTCACTCCGTCAGAACACACTGGGTCAGATGCTTCCAGTGCTCGGTTGAAGGCCACCACTGTCACGTGATACTTGCCGACAGAGGGCGCTGTCCAGGAGGCGGATGTGGAATAGGTTTCCGTGACCTGCATGTCATAAGTGAATGATCCGACATATTTTGGCAGATATGTGTGATTTTTACAAGAGAAAAACAACAACATCATTTCATCTTATCTCCGGTACAGAAACACACACACGCACCACACATGCACGCACACATCGTACTTCCATATTATCTACATTCACCAAATTTTCCAATTCATCGATCACATGATTGTCTGGTTTGTTTTCAGGTAGTCGTCGCATGGCAGGGGTACTGCGAAAATACTTCCAGTTTTGGGCAAATGTTGTGAATGGAGTATGATTATTGTAGGGCAGGAGATGCTTAGCCGTGAACATGGTTTCATCACTGATTTTCAGTGATCCATTCACGTGACTCACACAGCCAGTTTCCCCCTTTACAGCAAACAGAATTTGTTTCAAGGATAGTCAAAACTGTGTATTCTTTAACGCTGACGTTCTATATTTACCTCAAATGAAGATTTATTAACTCCAAATTCATTCGCTGAGAGACAGTGAGGTCCAAATTTATATTGGTAAAATTTGACTCCGCTCTCTTTGTCAAGAAATCCGTCCCAGTGAGAGTAGAGTTGGAGATGCTGCTGGTAGTCCACTTCCGGGTTCCCAAATTGACCATCTTGAACAACGCCAGGATGAGGGGAGCTTGTATCAATTGTCACCTGGATAAGATCGTGGAACAGCATGTTAGGAAACAGATCATGTATATATTGATCAAAAGGAAATCATATATACTTGTATTCAACGCATAGAAGAGATTTCCATCAATCATACGAAAGTTTCACTTACTTTAAACTCCATCTTTGTTGTAAGCTTGGCGTGGTTTGTCACATTGACCTCTAGGTAGTAGTCAGAGTCATGTGATCCCCTGCTTTTGTTGCTGAATATTCCTCCATGTTGGAGGCTGCTGTCTACTACGATGGGCTTTACTTGGAAGTGACGATGGTAGCAGCCTTTGGCTGGCGTACAGTAACAGTTAGCTCCCCTTGGGGCATTAGCGTTGGCGCTCTTGCAGTCAGCAATACTCTGTGTTATTTACATACCAGATATTTTTAACAATACAATTAGCTTTTGAGGCATATTGTCATTAATATTATTGATGGCGTCTGACCAACCTCCATTGTCAAATATGTGATAAAGTGTGTTTAACAAGAGAAGTAATGGAGTAAAGCGCATGTTTCATTACCGCAAGAAGTACAACTATGGCATACATAAAACTCAAAACTACTTACACGTCTTTCCCCTTGAGCCGTGACGTCCTGAACTCCATGCACGATATCTAAACCCTGGTATTTATCTACAATACGCCATGACACCGTCTCCAAGCCACTGTGGCCATCGTATGCAATCCACTCCATTCTGAAATTGCATAACAAGGTTTGACAATTCATCACATCAGACCGTTGTCTCGGACATTTAACCGTGATCAAGGAAGTCCACTGTTTTGAGTAGTACTCTGGTAAAATACAGGTCATGTCCCCGATATAAGTCTCAAATGTTTGTTAAAGGGTATCTAAAAAACGAACAAAAAATAATACTATTTATGTATAATTATCTATCAATGAACACCATAAGCAAACAAAAGACTTGCGTCATTTCGGAAGTACTTTGGTAAAGATGGACGAAGGGAAAAATACATCTCATGACATGTTTATTTACTTAGTCAAAATATTTATTTATCCAAATTCTTAAAGGTTATCTAGACATGAACTAGCAATAATGCTGCTGAATTATAATAATTAATTAATTAACGCCATATTAAAACAAGGACTTGCGTCATTTCGGAAAACTCCTCTGCTCCATGTACACTGATGTTGAGTCGGTCTCCCCTGGTTAGCCAAAGGTTCTCTATGACTGGGGGGTGATGTGTCGATGTGGACTGTCACCTGTTCTTCAAGGAATTCGCGTCTGATGTCACAGGCTCGTACCCAGAAGCGTACAGTGTCCCCGTCCACTAGTGAGGGTGTTATGGTCTGTGACTGATTCAGACCTTGACTGGTGAACAGGTTATCAGCTGGTGGACTGGTGATGGACGACCCTCCTTGGTGGTCGACTTTGTATGACGTCAAGAATCGTGTTACACCTGTTGAACATACATGACCATACTTATTTATCAGAAGAGGGAGATGCTTGGGATTTCAGGGTTAAAAGTTAACAAACAAAACTATTATGAATGGTTCTATATTGCCATTATTAATTGCTTCGTTGCATAAGTGTGTATACACCAATGATGAATAGTTGTTATCTTGTGATAAATGTGTCAATATATATTAGATTCCAGAACATGTGTATGTTCTATATACACAAGCTGCTAAATTGTGCCAACCTTGAACATTGTTGATGGCAGCCACACTTCTGTCACCCTCCTTATCGTCATAGTCCGAATTGATGTCACCAAGAGAAGCCACGCCGTGGAGCCACTTGTTGTTGTGGTGGACTGTGTTGATGTATCTGTTGGCCCAGTCTACTGTCACTGATGATGACGTAGTTTGCCACTTTGATGATGCTGCTGATGATTCTGTTGTCACACGGAGAGATGTATTTGCTTGTGTTGTTACAGTCGAAGTACCATCATATATCACTATTCTTCTAGCACTTCTGTGATTACCTCCCTTGTCATAGGCAGATAGGACAACAGAGTACACGCCCGCCTCAGTCAGTGTGTAGCTGTTGGTGGTCTGAAATATGTACATTTATAAAGTTTTAACAATACATAACTCTGTAAACTGTACACGTGACTACACACCGTGACAGTTCGATTCTCAATGGAATTAATGTCCTTGTTAGTTCAAGTGTCATGTTCGTGTCAGTTCAGATGTTTTGTAGCTGGATCATTTAGTAGTACTTATTTTTTTCTTCTTATTTGTGAAGGCAACACACACACGTGCGCACGCACATGTATACACACACAAACACACGCGCATGCATTCACCTAGCGCTTAGTATATTCACGAGACTGCAAATGATCAACCATAATTTGTATTGATGTAAATATTGGAACCACAATTCCTCACCGTTGAGCTTGTCAACGCTGTAGTCTTAACACGACGCTTAACTCTGAGTACATCCCCAATAGCGTGGAGTTCATACACGTCCCTCACAAAGTGGTCGACTCCTGCATCAGTATCTGACCAGCCACTCCAGCGGAGGTTCACTGTGGGCTGAAACAAGTCACAGATTCATTCTTCCTGTATACAGTTAACATCGGGTGTGAATGTGAAATATAACTGTAGTCATAAACTCACAGTCTTGATAACATCGGGAACAGTCAGCATGCTGCCAACACAGGCCGTAGTACCAGTACAGTGATAGGGATCCACCAGGTCTATGGACACAGTAAAGGTGTGGGTCTGTGTGGCACCGTTGTAGTAGTAGGTCGCTAGTGTCTTACTCTCCTTGTCCCGGACCTCCACATACCCTCCATTACTTGCTGAATAAGTGAATTCGATACTGAAAATAATAATGTCAAAATATTTACAGAATTCTACTAATGGTGAAACTTATATCAATTGAGAAACAGTTGCACTGTAGTTCATCAACGTTCTGTCGACTAACTTAAACTGTACACAGCAGTGGTCACTTAACTTGTCAACATACCGAGTGTACATATGATCATATTGATAGTAGATTTATATATACAATTATTCGTTTGGACTATTCATATTTTTGGTTTTATTTCGTTTATATCTGACATTCAGATTCCCAGCTGAAAGATGAAAACATTCAAAATAACGCACGGTGCCTGTATCGTAGCTAGCCCCTCATCACTACTCACACATCTCTGTGTTGGAAGGGTAGAGGTAGCACAGACGTCCCTGATGAGTTTCCTTCACAGGTGTACAGGTCTGTGTCCGGGCTGCTTCGGCTGGCTCCTCCACAGTTATAGACCTTAGTGGAGACAACACCTGCACCTACAACAACGCAGTCAGGTGAGTGAACAATGATGAAACAAGAAGCACGAGTTCATCAGTTAGGTGATTCAGGTTATGTTCTCGCCAACACATGGTATTATCGCTGTTTGATGCTGATACATAAATGCATGCCCGTGATATAGTCGGAATTGAACAGTCGACTTGAATGTGGAAAGGGTATTTGATTATGAATTCCCCACCGTATATACCGCTGTAAAGCCAGATAAACTTTACAATATAATACCTGACACGTTAGGTATCCATTCCAACATTCCAATGTATGCAGCAAAATGTCACATTATGCATACTGTGCCCTCTGATATTCGACATACCTCTCATGAGTTTGAATGTAGCAGAACCACTGACAATTCCAACACGGAAGTTTTCAATGAAGGCATGTCTGGATGGAGGTACCATTTTGTATTTTGCCGTAAACTTGTAGTACATTCTGGATGGAGAGTTGATGTTTGACCAGCTGGTGGACTGAGATGAACCACTGTTGATGTCGGGAGGAGCCTCTGTCGTGTCACCGTTGCTGGCGGTCAGTCTCAGGAGGTTGGAATTTATTGTGGGCTTCATTGTTACTGTAACATACTTGTAATGTATAAACAAAAGACGAATGTACAAAATATACGAAAAAATACTATAAACGACAGTACAAAAGATTTACAATTTCGTTGACATTTCCAGGTCAAAGGTTTCTATTCATACGGTGTCCATTTCGCTGAAGGGAACTACTTAAATATGGAAAATCAACGCCAGTGAAAGGCCAATGCCGATCATCCATAGAAACAGATTCAAAGAATCCTGAAGCAACATATAGCGCTGAAAAGTATATAATGAATGAATCACCGAAAATCAATGATGGCACAAGGTCTTCGAGAAAAAGGTAAGCATGCATGAAAAAGAAGCTTTACGTGTTTGTTGTTTGCTACTTGTATTCCCAGGTAGCGTCAACTCACTTGTCTGACAATGTTTCCCTGTGAAGCCGCTGGAGCAGGCACAGTTACTGGCGTACTCGTTCCTGCAGGTTCCGGGATAACACCGGGTGCTGTCACTCCGCCACGAACACGCCTCTGTAGACACAAATGTGGGATCTGGCTTCACAGCATGGTCGGTTAAGTATCTAAATCTGTATTGTTCGTTGACGGCAAGGCATATTCTTACTTCGACAGGGGCGGTGGGGTAGCCTAGTGGTTAAAGCGTTGGCTCGTCACACCGAAGACCCGGGTTCGAATCCCCACATGGGTACAATGTGTAAAGCCCATTTCTGGTGTCCCCTGCCGTGATGTTGCTGGAATATTGCTAAAAGCGGCGTAAAACCAAACTCAGGCAGTCAGTCAGTCTTACTTCGACATGATCTGTTGTAATAAGAAACAATATACGTAAAACCGATGTCCACTTCCTGGCTTTTGACTAGAAACGATTTTGTTTTATTTGACATACCCATAGATAGAGTCGAAGGATACCATACAAATAGATGGATCAATAAAACCCATTTCAGTAATAAAAGACCAGGGAATAGAAGAAGTAATATGTTTAGATTGAAAATTCTTAGGGTTTGCTTGTATGTTGTTTTATTCATAACTCGATTAACTGTGATAATATCAGTAGGAACCTAACAACATGCATTAATGTAACTGGGGGATATATTGTTGACTCGTTTTTCACCAATTGCAACTCACGTATGCATGATCTTCTATCAGAAGACGCCACATATGCCATGTATCCTGTCTGGTTCAGCACGACCCCCTCACAGCGACTACACACCTGGTTGCTGCTGCTGTTGCATGTCTCCAGGTCACAGTTACTGATGGCGCTGCACACTGGCAAGAGTAACACATCTTCATATCTTGAACAGCGTAAATTTCAGACTCGCAACATATACTACCGACCAAAAATAAGGGAACTGATGAAATGACAGTGAATGTGAAATTGCTCTGAATGTCCACTAATTCAAATGTGGGCGTAAAGTTCAATATCTCGTGTGTCCGCCATGTTGGGCAACACATTCACGACACCTTGATGGCATACTGTTGATTAATTTCCAGATGGTTGCCCGTGGTATTGCCCGCCATTCCACCTGAAGAGCTGCACCAAACTGGGCCAGGTTGACGGTTGCGGGGTCCCTGGCATACACCCTTCCACCGAGAATGTCCCATAGATGTTCAATTGGGGACAGGTCTGGGCACTTAGAGGGCCAGTCCCAATGTCTGTATGCCCTCTCGTCGGAGATAAGCTGTGACAATTTGGGCCCGATGTGGTCTGGCATTATCATCTTGGAATTCAAAATTCCTGCCGGTGATTCTAGCCAGCTGAGCCACGACAGGACGCAAACTTTCGTCAACGTATCGCTGACCAGTCAAGGATCCATTAACGATGACCAGATCTGATCGCCTGTCATGTGTAACCTCGCCCCACACCATGACACTACCACCCATATATCGATCATGGTCAATAAGTACCGCTCTGGCATACCGCTCACCGCTACGGCGCCAAAAACCTTGACTCATCTGAGAACATGGTGTAACGCCAATGGAGCAAAGCCCGTTCCTGGTGCTGCCTAGCCCATGGCAATCTTTGGCTCCTATGGTGAGCTGTAAGGATAACACCCTTGAAAGGCCGCCTTGCTTTCAGACGTGCTTGGTAGAGCCGGTTTTTTAACGGTTGAGTGTGAAATTCGTCACCCAGTGAGTGTACGGAATTCCCTATTGATGGCAGGTGCTGACTTGAATCTACCGCGTAGGGCCATTAATGTAATGAGACGAACCTGTCGTGGTGTCGTTGATTTTGGTCTGCCACGCCCAGGTCTCATTGCAACCCCACCTGTTTCATAGTACTTGTCCCACAGGCGTATAATTACACTTTTTGATTTACCCAACATTCGGGCAACTTGACACAGTGATGTCCCCCCCTATATCATCCCCACAATTCTCCATTTTGTTTGTTCATTGACATACTGCCTCGGAGGCATTTTTCAGCATGTGTTCAACTCTCTTGCATTAGTGATTGTGAGTTATCCAATACGTTTACAGAGGTTTACTTCTGTGTGTACGTGCATCACGTGTTGGTAATGCATCATGTGGAATTTCAATGTCATTGGATGTTGCGTTCGGGTGCAATGCTACGGTAACGCACCCGTTCAGCTCTACGTTTGCTGCATTCAATTTCTTAGTTCCCTTATTTTTGTCGATAGTATAGATATAGCAGTAACATATAGTGATCGCAAGATCCTTTATGGACGGAAAACTGATTTTGTGAGTTGGTATCAAAGCTGCATTTTACAGTATTCCTGCTATGCCTAAGTTAAACTTATTGACAGTGGTGCACATTGTCCAGGTAAGAAATGGCATTATCACGAGCAACGTGAACTCTAAGCTTGTAGGAAAGATGTCACAGAAACTTCTGTGATCACAAGAGCCTCTATGAGTGAGTGAGCTGGACTCAACGACGCAGTTAAATACATGCCGGCTTAATGTGGGAGGAAGGCTCCATGTGAAGTAGTTCTCTGACGTTCATCACGTTAGTAAAACCACGAGTTTGGTGCTGATAGATCAAGAATCAAAATCGTGACGAAACGGGATTTGAACCCTTTATGTTTAGGTTTTAACGTGCTCAAGGGAAGTAACTCTAGTAGTAAGGTGACCGCACATTTCCGAGGTGACGTAACGTGACGCAACCTCGAAAATATGCAGCCACACTGACGTTATACACCTATGACGTCACGACGATAGGTCTCGTGACGTCATGACCTACAAACAAAGGTTTCTGACGTCACTGGTTGTGACGCAACCTCAAAAATATGCTACTACACTGACGTCAGACGTCACGGAGACGGTCATGAGCTGACCATCCCTGTGACATCACACACAAATGGCGGCCATAAGAATCCGAGTGCGTCCGTCAAACTAAAAATAATCTCAATTGCTCTCGCACGCATTTTTACCTCATAAATGCACCATTAGCGTGCCATTAAATATCTGGTTTGAAGAAGGCTAGGGAATGTCATACTGTCTATGTAAAGCACTCTACAATATAAGATCGCACGAGCACCGTATTCTTCATTGTTTAAACCACCCCCAAAAATATACCCACGAGGTAGACATCGTCAACACTTTTTTATAAAACACAACAGAGGCAAGTAAACAACATTTCACAAATTTTATTCGTAAATATGCTTAGATTATATTTTTACTCACAATTCAGCTCTCAGTTCACAAAGCATTTCTCATGTCAGTATCAAACCTGACGGGGCAAGTAATTTTCAGGAATGAGCACGATGGGCTAAACCTGTGATGTTCAAAGTCAATGTCATCCTCGGCACACCATTTCCACAATCGTAATCCACACCAGGCACACGCGACTTTGTCCGAAACACTGGTATAATAAAACCCTCTCCGGGCTAGCTGTCTACCCTTCTGAACCAGCTGTTCGGACCAGTCCTTAAAAGTACCCATCCTGTCGTAGCTACATAACATCGTTTCGTGGCAGTAGTTCTGACTTAAATCGACCAGCAGCTTTCTGTGCACTACCGATGGTTGTTTCCCACAGGTGTAGTGCCCACGTTGAAGATGATATTTACCATCCAACGATACACTGTCTTCGTATACATAGTCCGATAAAGTCACTGGCTGCTTCCTCGCGTCAGTATCATCCTCATAGCAATCGGACAATTGACCCCTTTCTCCATCCTTCTGGTGTTTAAGGGTATCGTAGTACTGAGACATCTTTGCCGTAGTGAGTGGACACTCGAAAATTTTGGCAACCTCACTCTCCGGCTGTCGAGCTCTAACTGACTTCGAGATTAACATATCTGGGAGGTCAGTCAGTCAGGGTAGTGACGTTGCTGATAGAAGACACGAAGGTCGTCAGCTAGTCTATCGTGGACGGATTAAGTGATGAGAAAACTGACATACTAAATCGTGTGGTTCAATATAACACTAGCCGTTGGCCATATAGTCTATCGTGGACAGGTTAAGTGATGAGAAACTGTCATACTAGATCGTACGATCCACTATGACACCATCCTTTGGCCGTATAGTCTATTGTGGTCGGGTTAAGCCATGAGAAAAAAATGCAATACTACATCGTGCCATCCACTATGACACTAACCGTTGACCATGTAGTCTATCGTGGACAGGTTAAGTGATGAGAAAATTGACATACTACATCGAGCAAATCATTATGTCACCAGCCGATGGTCATATACCCTATCGAGGCTTGGTTATGTGGTTAGAAATAGTGATAACACACAGAGCGAGTCACTAGCCACACAGTCTCAAACGCTCTGTGGAAAGAAATTGCGATATCTCACCACAAGACAATCACTAATGTCATACTTTGGGCATGGTTATACATTCTCCCGTCATTTAAGTAGTAAAATCTGTGAGAATTGTACGAGGCTAAAGTTACACTTTTAGGAGGATTTGTCATACTTCTGGAACGAATTGTTCTATGTTTGGGGCACTGTGTCATACCTTTGGTAGGGGTTATACTTCTCCCGTCCTTTACTGTAGAAACATCTGCAGAAAATGTACAACATGAATGTCGAACGTTTCGAAATCTGTTTAAATTAGATAAGGATTGAATGGTATTGATTAAGAAAGTACGTATTGAAATACAAAAATCTAGAGGTGTGAGAGACAGCTGTAACATCGGTATGCAATTCATGACCTCACAACAGCCATGACTCCTCCGAGAGGACCTCTCTCCCCTTTATGACGTCACAAACAAGGACACATTAGTAAATTTGTATTAACTCTCATCATACTTCAACAACGCCATGCTCGCACACGGGGTGATGACGTTATGTCCTTTGAATGGCTGAGCCCTGCTATATGGTGGGGAGGGGACAGGGGCTGTGTTACAACCGATAGGACGGAAGACTGGGAGGCAGAATTATTCTCAAGGGGCAAGAGTGGAGTCATTGCTGCCAACGCGGAAGAGAACTGGGATTTAGAGCTGATGTCGGTGGAAGCATCAGCACCATTGCCACCATCATCATCTCAAGCATCATCAGCGTGTCCTGCATGGCAATGTCACCAAAGGTGTCTCCCCGTGTATGCAAACGGGACTATAGATTATAATGGTAGATTTCAGTGTGTATATTGTGGTACCATCCTGAAGGACACATACATGCGATGTTTGACGCACGATAGTAAGCGTCATATCAGGCAAAGGATGACAATTCACCAGTGTCAGTGCACACTACACCTGTGAGTCCACCTCACACCACCCAACGGTCCTTTTCAGGACCACTCATCTCTCCCAAAAGAATGCTTTGTACATTGCAAACAACGATGGCATATAACTTGTCTTCTCCAGCAGCGGTAGCACGACAAACGTCGCATTATCCACGACCCCGTAACCTCTAGATTGACCTATACCGTACCTTACGGTTTCAAAACCAGTACCACGTGATCCGTTCGGCCGTGTCCGACCGGTAGTTTGCTAGACAGTCGCTCTCCATTTTAAAAGCCACGAGCGACTCCCCCAGTTCGCTTCCAGCTGTATAAGAACCTTTCCTCACCTCGCGCCATTCACCATTACTTACGGCGTAGTACAGTCATGTCTCAACAGTCAAACGACCATATGTGTAAGAACGACGACGTGTTCCAAATCAGCTACCCTCTGACGAATGCCCTGTCACACGTCATGGTAACTCTGCGTCTCAGCATACAATCCTCCAGTCTGTCACTTCAGGGAACCAAAAGAGACCGCACCACCACAACCACCAACAACAACAACGACGACATAGACCACCCAAGCACGACCAGCAACGACAGCAGCACCACCGACCACCACCACGAAAAACCACTCGCGGCGACAACAGACCAGACAACCACGAACCACCACCCGCCGAAGAAACCGACTAAGTCAACCACATGCCAAAAGAGAAAAATCAACGACGACGTAACGACGAAGAACAAGAAGAAGCAGAAGAAGATTAACCATACAGCATTACTGTCGTCTGTGCGTGACACCGAGGACGAGCTTTTCGACGGCGAACAACACCCGAGGGAAGGAGAAACCAACGTTAAGCTAGACATCGAGTTGCAGAAGCTCTGATAGGCAGTACAGCAGGCTCTGATACAAGCGCCTGAACAAGCGCACGCCCCCTCTCGGCGTGTCGATATGATGATTATAACAACGATGAAGATAATAATATTTAAAAACAAAATAAACGAACGGATCGTGTGTTCCGTTGAAAATGTATATTCTGCTATTTCTTTCGTTATTCTCGCACCCCAGCAGGGTATGTCGAGGTCTGAATTGGAAAAGGGGGCATGGTTGTCACAGCTTTTTAGAACTACCCCGTCATACTTATAGATCAGTTAGTCGTACATTGTGAACGACGATTGATACTTTCAGGAATATCGTTCTCGTAATTTTGGAACAGTTTGTCATACCTTTGGCGTGATTATACCTTCTCCCCATACTTTTTAGTAGTAAAATCTATGGAACAGGTCCACGACTAATGACGCGGTTTTGGAAGGGTCTGTCATACTTTTGGAACAGTGCGTGTAATTATTAGAATGTCGTGTCATACTTTTGAAACGATGCATCATACATGTGGAACAGTTAGTCATACATTGGGAAGGACGTGTGACACTTTTAGAATAGCGTGTCCTAATTTTGGATCAGTGTGTCATACCTTTGGGTGTGGTTATACGTTCTCCCTACATTTTTCAGTAGTAAAATCTACGGACACTAGAAAACCAAAACAGTAATACGTGATTTAACAAAGACGCTGCATCAGTTTCACGGTAACACTTTGATAAGATTATTTATACGCACAATGTTAGCGGTTAATTTACACCATTCCTCCATGGAGATAGATATACCTAAAATTGTCTCTTTGCCAGCTATAAATTGCCTGATATCTACGATGGGTAATTTACTTTTTAAACAAAAGGAAACACGTTTTGTTGTCGAAAGGCGTAGCTGATTGTGCATACACTCGTTATCCATTAGATTCACGCCTGTTCCCATGACAAATGTCCTGAGGGGTGTTGTTCCGTATGAGTGGAGTGGTAAAGCTATGACGGTCAACGTGCAGCACGCGGTAGTTACCAATAGCCCGAGCACTGTCAAACTTGTATGCTTTGATACACACGTGTCTCTTTCTCCCTTTCTTGCCGTGGTTTCCATTTTCAAATAAAGACAATCCTCTTCAGGGGTATTCGACATTTTCAACGCATACATGCGCACGCAACACAAATACGGCATAAGCGTATTCCCTCCTCTACTCGTACACTCTTACCCCCTTTATATACAGTCGTGTTGAGAGAGCGAGAGAAGTCCATAGCGTTGTCACCACCTCCCAAGTAAACATGGCCAAGTATCGTGCTGACGGGCAGGAACGCTTAGTCGACAGAATTCATTTCCAATTCCCCAAGATATTCAGACTCTTACTAGGAGGTCCTAGAGGTGCGGGTAAAACCACTTTCGTGAAGCACATGCTACAAAACGATATAGATGGCCCGTTGCCTTTACTACAAAAATTATAGTAACGTTATAGTGTGGGTCTACAGTGAAACGCAACTCGTATACGACACTATAAAAGCCATCTGTGTCAGGGGAGGTATCGACATTCATTTCGTGCAAAAGATTAGTGACGATGTAGAAGGCTACGTTGATGCTTCCAAGTATAACTGGCTAGTCATCGACGACGCGGCAGGCGATTAGACAAAAGAGGACGAGCAAGAGTTACTGAGATGGTTCGTTAAGAGATTGCATCACAGACAGACCAGTATACTATACTTACAACAGAATAGTTTTGCGTGAACACCATTCCATAGAACGATCAGTTTAAATTGTACGCATATTGTTGTGTACAAGAATCCCCGAGATAGAAGCCAGATAGAAGCCAGATAGACAAATACTTCCGGGTCAGTCGGGCTTTATAAGAGACGCTTATGCCGAAGCTACATCACAACCGCACACTTACATACTGCTAGATTAAATGCAGAACACGCCCGACGAGTTTAGAGTGCGTGGGAACCAGTTAAACAGAGAACACGGAGAAATAGACGTGTACTGACCTAGGCAAAAGTGAATAGAATGGATTGCCATAATGCTCAGACTTGTGTTTCGGGGAATGAAATGCTGAGCAGACGACGGTCGTGGGGGGAAGCTGTGACTCGGACCATGATCGACGAAGACCAGGATAGCAATAGTAGCAGCAGCAGCTATGATGACGACTATTCTTCGACGTCATACGATGACTACAGCGATGACTCTAGTACTCTAGTCTTCTTCTTTGTTTGGGGACAGCGACACGTTGCTACATTACCGGGATGATGAAGCTTTGTATAACGACGACAGCGATAGCAACCACGATACCGAGGATGACGTATACAGTGTAGAACGTGTCACATTCGCCTGGGGCGACGAGGGTGGTGGGCGACACCGTAACAACAGCAGCGGTCAGATAATACCTCCTATACCAATACCCAAGATTGTTCTGAAAAGGAAATAAATCACAATACATATGAAGATTGTGAGTTTTAGTCGTCATTTTATTGTACACCCTCGGAGTAGAGCGACACCCCTCCTTTCACACGAGTAAATTACACCCCAGACACACCGTCCCATCATCGTCGACATCGGAGAACCCACGTCGCATCATCGCCTACCCCGTAACCTCTAACTTGACCTACATGGTACCCTACGGTTACGACACCAACCCTGCGTGATTCGTCCATCGCACTGGATTGGTAAATAATCTGGCATCCCACCAAGCCGCGATCTCTACTTTAGTGAGCCACACTCGCACACACGCACACACACACAGACGCGTCACGACACGCTCGACGTACATACTTTACTTTACTATCTATTGTCTTGTCTCGACAGCCAAACAACGGGGTGTACAAGGACGACGACATGTTTCAAATCAACTACGCCCTCACACTGTCACACGTGATGGTAGCCCTCCAACACAGCATGGGCTGCTCAAAACCGACCCCACAATGAGAACACGAAAGAGACGACACACCCCAGACAGACCATCATCGTCGACATCGGAGAACCTGCCACCACCAACAACAACACCCACCAACACCGGCACGAAGACACACCCCCCACCACCATCACTACCACCACCACCATGGCTGACCACCCAAACCCGAAGCTATCGACACCCACGGGTCGCGATAGCAAGAAGAAAAGGAAGAAGACAAACGACGTCATAACAACGACAGTTGCCAGCGAAAACAAGAAAAAACAAAACCCCTGAAGAAACAAAAGACCTTCTTCTTCTACGAACATAGGTATCCAAGAAGGTCGAGAGCTAGGAGGAGAAGAAGAAGAAGAAACAACTGTCGAACTCGATGGTGAATTACAGAGGCTCGTGGCTGAGCTGATTGGGGGAAGCGACGAGTGAAAGCGCACCCCCGACATACAAACGAAATAAACGAACGGATCATGTGGTCCGTTGAAATGCAAAACCCGTTATTCGGTTGTTATTTTCGCACGTCTCTCTCTTTTCACACAGGAAAAAACACCAACAAACAAACAGCACCAGACTCGTTATAAAGGCATCACAGAAGCGCTTTTATACGTTTATTTATACTCGAAATGTCTGCGGTTAATTTACGCCATTCTTCTGTAGAAATAGATATACGTAAAATTGTCGCTTTGCCGGCTAGAAATTGTCTAATATCGATTATAGGTAGGTTTTCTTTCATACAAATGGAAACACATTTTGTTGCCGAAAGGCGTAGCTAATTCCGCATACACCCGGTATTTGTTAGGTTCGCACTCGTCGCGTTGACGATTGTTTTGAGGGGTACTGTTCTCGACGAATGTGGTAAAGTTATCAACACCAACATGCAGCACACGATAACTAGAGTAGTCGCCAATAGCGCGTGGACAGAGACACACTTATGCTTTAATGGCGATTTTCGTCTCAGTATCTAAGGTTCGCTGTTTTTATCCACGGTCTACATTCCACTGGTCGTATGCTACTTGTCTCTGAGAGGTACTACGCCCACCGATCTAGCTGAGGATATAAAGAAGGTGGAGGAACCGTTGTTTGAATTACTAAAAATATCGCTGTCTATGCGCACGGTTCATACCTCTCCCGGTTTGTTAAAAAGTCGTAGCAGCAACAACCCTCATTTGTTCCGATAAAACGTAGGAAAAAACAGAGGATTTCTACGGTTGGCGTGGGACGTAGCGCCCTGTTGAAAAGAAAGAAGCATAGGAGAAAGGTTAAGAGAAGCTTGGTATTCTAGTAGAGATTTCACATAGTTTCAAATTATGATGTCGGGGAATATGGATCACGTGCAATGTGGTAAAAGTGAGCTGGATTTATTTTCACTACCGGGTATGGTTTCCACGATGACGGATTCACATTGGACCAAATATAGCCCAGTTACAGGTCTCGGACAGTTGGACGGTACCATAAGGTTTGATATCAATAACCCTATAAACAGCTACGTAGACTTGGCCGAATGTTACCTGAGAATTGTATGCAAATTTAAGACGGTGGATGGCCGTGCTGCCGTCGCTGACAATGTGGTGAGCGAGGATGGTCAGACGGTGACTAGACACAGAGACGTGTGCGCACCAGTGACAAACACTCTACATTCTCTATTTCGTGAGGTAAGGGTGATAGCGGGGTCTAACCAGCTAGAATAACGGACAGTCTGGGCACCTATCGAGCGTTTATCGAGACCCAACTGAGTTGTGATCAATCACAAATAGACAACAACCTGGTAGCACAGTATTTCATTAAAGATAAGGTGGGTTATTTCAATAACTTCACTCTAGGACAGGGAAATTAAAACCCGCGTTTCGTGGAACGATGAAGCAAATGTGTCCCCAGTAGACCCGTAGAGCTCGTCTGGAAATTACACTCTGATTTGTTTATACAGCATAGATATCTCATAGACGGCGTGCCTTTAAAAATTGAACTGATACGTAGTCCACACAATTTCTACATGGTACACGGTAGCACAGACCAGGCTGGTACTCTCATACCCGGCTATGCTTGCCACATACTATCAGCCGAGTTTCATGTCAGACAGGTAAACGTAGCACCTGCCATTAGAGACAGTCATATCAGGGGTTTGACGTGTGGTAGCACTGTAAAGTATCCTATAGCCCAAGTGAAAACCACGGCACATGACATTCCTCAAGGCTTGAGAGAATATAATTCTGAACACTTAATAATGGGTCATATCCCTAAAAGAATAGTACTCGGTCTCGTCGACAACGAATCCTTTTCGGGGGTTTCGAATAAAATTCCTTTTAATTTCCAATCTTTTGCATTGACTGAAATAGCCGTAAAAGTGAACGGTCAGGAGGTAGGTAAAAGATGTCATACCGTCAATTTTGAGCCCGACTCTACGCGAATGTATCAGACATACCTGGAGCTGTTTAGAAATACGGGTGGCCTTGGGAGAAATTCCACGCACGCAGTGACTCTGGGAGAATTTTTAGACGGTACTACGTTGTTTGTATTCGATTTAACGCACGATTTGGGTGCTGACATGTCACACGTCTATCCGAAGAGCTCCGGTAAGGTTGGCATAGAATTGAAATTTTCGCAGCCAACGCCCCGAGCGTTGACGTTGGTGTGCTATAGAGAGCTGGACAGTATCACAGAATTTGACCACTTTAGAAATGCTACTATACACTGATGTAGACGACGGATAGGTTACATATCCTTCTAACATGTTGTACGGACGAGATTTACAATGGTTTTGGACATAACGACCCTTTTCTTAAAAACAACTACGGTGGTATCAGTAGTAGGGATACTTTGGAAGAGGTGTGTGGTAATGAAATACGCAGTATTATGCTTAGCAGGGTGAAAAGATTGAAATATCCTATCCTGTTTAAGAAGAGTGAGCCGGGCAGTCACTGGTTCCCGTTAAGTATAGAAGCACCCGGTAGATTACACATACACGACTCATACGGTATAGATTACACGCGAATTTGGGTCGAATTTCACGATTTTGTGTCAAAATATGGTCGTTTGCAATATACCTACAATAGAGTTCGCGTGCAGAGCCTATCGTGTGTAGCTTGAGGACACCATAGCCTATATTTCAGTAGCTGTGGTTCTAGGGGTATTTCCAACGACGAGATAGTGAAACATTACAGTCAAAAGAACACGCTTAAGAACGATTCGATGGTTTTCAGATGGTATGATGATAGCGTGAAACGTATGCTCGAAAAATTGTAAATAGGCGCGGGAGTAAGGTTGTGTATTCTTAGTGGATTCTGTTTTGATTAGCGGAGACAGAGACCCTCATGTGTTTGCTCCGACACGCTTGTATAACGAAGCATGGTGTACAGGTCCTTAATGCCTGGGGTGTGGAGTAGTGTGTGCCCCTGGGGATTGACGATGATGTCACGCACGTCGCTAACCTAACAGATTGACCTCCCACGGAGGGATTGACGATGATGTCATGCACGTCGTTACCCATGACTGATTGACCTGCCACGGAGGGACTGACGATGATGTCACGCACGTCGTTACCCCTGACTGACTGACCTCCCAGGCATCGAGATAGTCAGTTAGAACACGACAAACGAAGCTACGACAGGATGGCTACTTTTAAGGACTGGCCCGAACAGCTGGTTCAGAAGGGTAGACAGCTAGCCCAGAGAGGGTGTTATTATACCAGTGTTTCGGACAAGGTCGCCTGTGCCGGGTGTGGATTACGATTGTGGAAATGGTGTGCCGAGGATGACATTGACTTTGAACATCACAGGTTTAGCCCATCGTGCTCATTCCTGAAAATTACTTGCCCCGTCAGGTTTGATACTGACATGAGAACTGCTTTGTGAACTGAGAGCTGATTTGTGAGTAGAAATGTAATCTAAGCATATTTACGAATAAAATTTGTGAAATGTTGTTTACTTGCCTCTGTTGTGTTTTATAAAAAGGTGTTGACGATGTCTACCTCGTGGGTATATTTTTGGGGGTGGTTTAAACAATGAAGAATACGGTGCTCGTGTGGTCTTGTATTGTAGAGAGCTTTACATAGACTGCCCGACTCGATGTCTTCTATGTATTTGGTAGAATATAACCGCCTTCCCGTGTTGTATTGTAGAGAGCTTTACATAAACCGGAGGGCGCGTTATTCTTTTTGAGCGTCGTGATACATTTGTTTTGCTGCCTTGTATTGTAGAGAGCTTTGCATTGGCAGCACGACATTTACAGACCTCTTTCAAAATTGTTATTCATTCCCGCTTTGGGGTTTACTATACGAGGTAAAGAACGAAACACTCCATACTACTCTTGCTGCTTTGCCGTTTTCTACCTCACAGATTTGTTTTTTATGTAGAATATCACCGTCTTACCGTCTTGTATTGTAGAGAGCTTTACACAGACGGGGTGGCCGTGTGATGAAGAGTGTATAGGTATGCCTTGCGGTCTAGTATTGTAGAGAGCTTTACATAGACAGTACGACATTCCCTAGCCTCCTTCAAACCAGATATTTAATGGCACGCTAATGGTGCATTTATGAGGTAAAAATGCGTGCGAGAGCAATTGAGATTATTTTTAGTTTGACGGACGCACTCGGATTCTTATGGCCGCCATTTGTGTGCGATGTCACAGGGGTGGTCAGCTCATGACCGTCTCCGTGACCTATGACGTCAGTGTAGTAGCATATTTTCGAGGTTGCGTCACAACCAGTGACGTCACCACCTTCGTTTGTAGGTCATGACGTCACGAGACCTATCGTCGTGACGTCATAGGTGTATGACGTCAGTGTGGCTGCATATTTTCGAGGTTGCGTCACGTTACGTCACCTCGGAAATGTGCGGTCACCTCACTACTACTCTACAAAGTGAATGGCGGCACATAATTGTCTCCGATATGAATGAATCGACTGAACCTATGTACACGTACTTCTGCAGCGTTCATTGCTGGGGTAAAAGCCTTCATTACAGTTGTCACAGGTCCCAGGGGAAATACATGTGCCTCCACTCTTATACTGTGTGGTGCCGTTACTGTGGACGATGTGAGATGTGCTGTAGTCGATGTTGCAAGCAGCGGGGTTGATCTCGCTGTCACATATAGCTGCAATGTGTAAAGGGTGTTTCATTGTTACAGTATGTGTGGGTGAACATGTTAATGTCAAATCATCCGAATTCTGATTTATCTTGTGTGGTAAAATGTGCTCAACTGGAATTAGAACAAACGAAAGCATATTGCATTAGTGAGCATTCACAACAGTGAATGATAATCGATAGCCTGGGAATTTATTCAAAATACATTACACGGCCCGTCCAACCTTTAGTTACCAAGGTATAAGGATCGTCAGATCATAATGATAACAATTGTAGCAAGGACATACGTTCCTCAACCAAAGTAGCACAATTCACTTACGATGTGGGCAGCCTGTGTTATCTGTGCTTCTGTACCCTGTTTTGCATCTGTAATTTGTGGCTGACCTATGGCTGGGAGAACAAAAACGTGTACTCTTACGACGCGTATGATATTGTCAACATAAGAATGTACGACTTAGTACCAGTGTTGATATCATATGCTGTAATATTCTAACGCAGTACCTGCCTCATCTATGATCTGGTTCTTACAATTGTGTCTGGGAATTTCCCTTTGTCATAGAGGTCAACTGTGACGCAATGGCCACCAGTGTGGTTGTCACAATACTACTAAATATTCGATCAAAAGTCAGAACAGGGAGACCTCGTCAAATCACGAAGGTAGCGTCATTTGTATATTCAGAAAATAAACAAACATCATGAATAATACAATTCGTTTCAAGTAATTAAGTTTTTACCTGTATCTTGAGCACCGACGCAAGTACCAAAAACCACACGTCGTTGTGGAACGATGTGCCCAGTAAGTTGTATACGCCTCTACGTTTTCACTGAAAGGAAAGTAAGACTTGGAGGTATCATTATTTCTTCGCCTCACACATGTATTTAAAGTATACAGATGGAGAAAAGTATCGCAACACCCAAGTATTATGATAGGACCTATATTTAATCACAGTTTATATGTCATTTGCATCTTCACAGGAAATTATGTTACCGCCAAAGTCCTAAAAGGACTTTCCATTAACACAAAAGCCAACAATAAAGAATCTGAATGGTATAATTTGATTAAACACGGGTCCAGTGATAACTGAAATTAAGAGAACATAATGTGTCAGTAAAAGTATGTTCATACCAAACGGGTAACACAGTGCATAGTCCTAATTCATACAAATAAGGTCTCTACGTTTCAGAAAGAAAAGACACAGTCAGTATCTTGTGTAACCTCCGCCCACCTGGATGACGTTTTGAACCCTCGTCCTCATTGCCCAAGACGCTGAATCCGATGTTGGGGCAACCTGTTCTATTCTTGGTGAAATGTTTGCTCTAATTCATCAATATTCTGGACTGGCCGATCTCTCTGACGAACCTTACGCCCAAGAATGTCCCAAACATTCTCGATAGGGTTCAAACCAGGGTGGTAAAGGCTTCTTGATGTAAGAAATCAATGATCGCGCGATGTGACCTGGCGTTGTCTGTTTTTCTAATCATCTTTCGTGGATTAACCACCCAAAACAGGCATCTGTACAAGCCCTTAAGGTTTTGATAACTATAATTAGAAATATGTATTTTTGGGAAATATCATATAAATCATTCTTTAAAATGTTTTACGTAAAAGTAAGCCCAATACTGTTATATGGATAAGAAAAATGGGGTTTGAATAATTATGAATCTATAGAAAAAGTCCATTTGTATGCATGCAAAAAATATATCGGTGTGAAATCTAGCACATGTAGCACTATGGTATACGGCGAGTGTGGTAGATTTCCATTATACATATATTCTACTATTAAAGTTAGAAAGTACTGGTTACGATTGTTATCTATACCATGTCATAGATTTCCTTAGAATTGTTATTTTGTATTTATACATACTACAAAATCTGCTTTAAATTTGTAATCTGTAAGTATTTGACATATGCTTTTCGGCTGCTCAGTTGTAAATATTGTGTATATAAATGTACTATAGGCCTGAGGCCTTTTAAGAACCGAATAAAGATTGATTGACCAGGCGTTGTCATCCATAGAGATTGGGCTTCTTAATTAGGGATGATTATCGAAATGAGGCACTACATGCCTCCTCAAGATTTCCTATTGGTATCTTTGTCCATTCAGATTTCCTCTCACTGTGACAAGCTGAAGTTTGCAGTCATACGATACACAGCCCCATACCATCATGGATCTTCCGCCGAATGGAACTTCTTCCAGGATGTTCCTTTGAGCATATGCCATGTTCCTCTGTCGCCATACACGCGTCCTTCCGTCAGTAACAAACAGCAAAAACCGGCTGTCGTCTGAAATATGGATCTTCCTCCAAGGAGCCAGGTTCCACCAATGTCGGTCACAGCACCATCGTAATTTTGCATCCATGTGGGCGACGGAAGGTCTCCTGGCCTTATACCCTGCTGTTTTCAGTCGATTTCTAACAGTTTAATGACAGAGTTGCAGATGTGTAAGTCATTGCCGTTTTAACATTGGACTTGGTGCAAAGGGAAATCGCCGAACAAGTCTTACTAGGGCTGCGTCGTGTCTAGCTGATGTCTTGCGTGGTCTGTCTGAACGATCCTTTACTTCGTTTGTTTGGTGATATTTCTTCACTAATCGACTGATTGTTGAAGGGAGGTGACCTAATTGCCTGGCTGTTTGTCTCATGGACAACCCGGCATTAAACATACCTATAACTTGCCATATTTTGACTGACGTTAGTTGAGGGGGTCCCATAGAGTTGTTTCAGAGTTTAGTTTTAGTGTTGTTTTACGTCCCACTCACCAATATTCTAGCTATATGGCAGGTTGTTTAAGACAATAAGTATGCAAGAGTGAATGACAATTTGAACTGTATTTTCATGACACGATACTACATATCGAACTTATCACTTCATGCACTGTCGCCTGAAAAAAATAATAAACACAAACGCGCAAACTAATAATGGTTGTCGGTCTTCCGTCTAACTCCCAAGGCAGGTTAAATCTTTCGTTCGTGTCACAACGGCAGACTCTATTCGGCATATTTGGCCTGTTTGTGTCACGATTTACTATAGTAGTAGTCAGCTTACAGAATCTGGGATTAGAATGAAGTGTAGTTCTAAGACGAGCGAACAAATTTAGCCTGTACATGAAGCAATGTTACATATTTACAGAACGTTTTCACCAGATATGTAACCGACTTTTAAGACACGATATAAGAATTAGATATGTGTATATCATGAATAGCCAACAGTCGTTTGTTACTTAAATACCTTCAGGTGAGATTGTTATATGTCAGGTTGAGACCTCAATAAATCGCTCATCATAGATGGACTTTAGCTGACAGTGGACTGAAGGAACGAACAAACATCATCATTTCCCTCAAGATCTAACCCTGCCCGACTTTACTATACACTATCTCGGCCTCTCTGACACACACATGTAGTGATTCATCAAGAATGTAAGTGGATAACACTTATTGCAGTCCGTTTGAGACAAAATGATACCGATGAATTGCAATCTAACAAAAAACAAATAGACATAAAAGAATCAAACCAACGCGGACTGCAATAAAAACAACAGACCAACTTTATTGGCAACTCAAGGAACAGCGCGAAAAGCGAGATGCACGTGCATTAACGGGTTCTCAGCAATCTTTTGAACTGAGATGACACGTACCCCAACTGCACAGGCAGTGCGCTGTATGCGCTTGGTAATTGCATACTTGGGTCTCCCCCTGTCGTTTTCATCCTTGAAGAAATCATAGATTTTCTAAATTGTAGACTTTCGTCGGGAGAAAATTTCATTTTCTCTCACTTTGTCAATCAGCAGTAATCACATGTCTCTAACGTCACTAATGCACGTGCATCTCGCTTTTTGCGCTGTTCCTTTAGTGGCCACTGCGCCCTTGTAACAAACTGGGAAAGCGCACAAATAAATGATGACAGTTTATTACACAACTTTTTTATTTTTGTGACAAAAATTATGCAATTGTTTTCTATAGATGGTCTGTTGTTTTTATTGCAGTCCGCGTTGGTTTGATTCTTTTATGTCTATTTGTTTTTGTATTAAAGTAACAAGTGATCTGTTAAAGTAACTTTGAGTTTGGAGTTGAAACAGTAACAACGGCACAGGACGTATTCACATTACATGACAGCAAACCGTATTAACTTAGAAGTAATGTTAAGTATTAAAAGGGCGTGTTTAAAAATGTAGCATTCTACATTCTACAAAAGAAAGAAGCATGTCTAATTGTCCATAAAGGTCAGCATACGTCTTAACATTACGGAAGTTAATTTCGCAAATTCGTGTTCTTGTGGTCTCATTTGACAATGTTGAGTTTGTTGGATATAACAACAGGTTGCATTGTCGCTTTCTCGACAATAGTAACAATTCGAAATATTGACAGCGCTTTTGCGAACATTTATATTCTCGAATATTAATCTTTCCAAAGGTCGTACAAATGACCTCTACAGTAAACCATCGCCTTTACTTCATCTCTTGCTTTGGGGCAGATCGTATGTTCGGGGCATCTTTCAACTCTTCTCAGCTGGAAGATTGACCTCAAGATTCCCCTAATCTAAATCGGGTTTTAATATTTGAGTCTACGTTTGAGACAGCTTTACCAAATGAATTTCAATGAATAATCAAGTTGTGTTTTTGTCTTTTACGTCAAGGCATGCCGTTATGTGTCCGTAATTAAGGACAATTCCCGATTTAATCCTTTCCAAAGCAAGGAACAAATACAACATTTATATTTTTTATTTAGATGAAAGTATACTTGGCGTCATTAATGAAGGGTGAAGTAACACTATTTCTTAAAAGTTGTAAAATCTTCGTTTTTGTTTGAAATATGCACAACTGTATGTTTTACAAACTTTCTTAACAGAATGGAAAAACACATCAGGCTCTTAGAAATGTCATTATGACGTTCTTTAACGTTCTTTAACGTCCGATACATTCTGTTACAAATGACACATTTGTTATTCAAATTATCAACATGGAAATCCACCTGCCACTTAATGTCAATGATTTGCTCTTCCATGGAAAATGGAGGACAATACACATGCATTGATGCTTTTTCACTGTCGTTCACTGTTTCGTTTAATATCGCATCTTAAAATGCATCCTTGTTTTGGCACTTGCTGAATTGGGTCAGACTATATGCCTCTTGGAATCTGGTCAAACTCAGCGGCAGGTTGCTGTCCGCTTTAATGTGAGTCAGAGTGCTATTGGTAGACTGTGGCAGAGAGGGGCCGTGGAATATGCATGTCGACCTGGTCGACCCAGAGTCACAACAGTCCGAGATGATGGTCACATCATTAACACAGCGTTAGGTAACAGATTCCTTAACGCAACAGGTCTTCAGACAGAACATTTCAATGTTAACATTGTCAGGATATCCAGGAACACCGTTCGTCGACGTATAAGGGCAGCCGGACTCCGCTAGCCTATAGTGGTAGACGAACTGCAGGTCACCTAAAACCACGTCACAGACAGCCGTGGTGGAGATGGAGTAGACATCGTGGTGGCTGGAATCAACATCAATCGGGTCCTTCCATGATGATCGGCAGAGGATTTATCGTCGCAATGGACGGCGAATCACAGATGCAACTGTGAACACGCATAACCGATTTGGCGGGGTGTCGGTCATAGTTTGGGCAGTGATAACTCCTACTGGACGTATTCCACAGCGCGTGGTCGACGGAAATCTTACCGGACAGCCTTATCGGGACGAGATTCTGGCTCCTGTAGCAGTACCATTCCTGCAAGCTATGCATGGCTTGTGGTCAACCTTCTTTACTGCAAGACAGCAACACTAGGCCTCATAGGGCCAGGATTGTCACGAAATTCCTTTGAGAGCAGGGTGTAGAGCGGATGGAGTCGCCAGACCTCAACCCAATTGGGCATGATTGGGATGAACTCGGTCGACGTGTGTACGTCACCCAGCACCGGTGATCTCCTAGGACTCTGCAGAGCTCTAGTGGAGAAATGAAATGCGATTCCGCAAGCTTTCTTTTTGCACGTGATAAGGAGCATGATACCAAGGTGCACCTGTGTCATGAACGTGCGTGGAAGGTACACAAGATATTGAATGACCGAGTGCTTCATGCTTTTCGTTTTCATTTTGGGGGTTGGTCTATACAACTGGTGTTTGCTAGTGCTGTTTAAACTTTTTGATTGTATGTCACGATGTGTCACGTTTGTCAACACATTAAACATTTTGGTGACACTCTTAGTTCTATTTTTTGTGTGAAACCTTTCTTCACAGGTGCTATAGAGCATTTGACCCTGTATTGAAGATGCCTAGTATATTTATGTTGTCTGTATGCTTATAGATTCAGGGACCTTTGTTTCTTAATTATGCATCCAAATGTTCATACACTTACTTGATATGAATGCGTTTTGTTTAGTTTTTGCTTTCTCTCTGTTGCTTGTTTTTATCTACAATACATTATACCTAACATACAATTAGAATTGGTCAGAAGCTGTTCTGATCAGCTAATGCTGTACCACTTCCAAAGCCTAACCACACTTAAACCATTTGGGAAGTTAGATGACATATACTTACGGGATTTTGTACTTTAAACATAAACACTAATCATCAGAAGGACTGGTGACATATCCGTTTTCGAGGCGATTTAGCTCGAGAATGTCATCTTAAATTTCTACACACTCAGTCAGTGGTGTACTTCAATGAGAATCTGATACTAAAACCAGTATGTTTCTTATCAGATTACAAAATATATCAGCCATAATGCTATGATAGCCTCATAGTTCCAATATCTATAGTAAGTGTTCACAAACAGGTAAGGTAAAAGACATCACCTGTGATGTTCTTTTCCTAGAACAGCCATTTGCAATAAGAATGAGTTTCCCGACGATATAAAGTATTGTCATCTTATACTATTTTGAGGTAATGTCAGTAGTCCTTACTTTTATGGCGTGTTACGTCTTTTTATGCTTGTGAACATATTGAACATATCTTATGACCACTCACGCACGGGCAGTGTTATTTTCGATGGGTTTCCTGAACATAAAATAAAAATCTAACAAAAGCTCCTCTCACATACTGGGATTATATATTAAGAAAAAGGTTTACTGTGTTGCATTTATTATGTATATGGTCCTTACAGAGACATAAGTTCGGGCGGCAAACACCATTTAGCAACTAACTTGTAACAGATACTCCAAGATTTGCTCTTTTACAGAGTAACCATTCGACTTACAACTATATATACACCATGCAGTATATATATATATCCTAAAGCATTATTTCATGCATAAATCTGAACACATTATTCTGAATAAGTCCATTTTTCCATCACGTAACAAGCTTGACCAATTAGAATGACTGACTTCGAAGAATTGATTTCCGAATTGAAATGATAGGTTATGCTATAAGACAATGTGTTATCTTTTGTATTACTGGACATATGTTTTCTCGCCAAAATCTATAAAGATACTACACTCTGGGAACAAACAATGTCATTTCGAGAATACATATTATTGTTACAGAGGACTGTAGAAGTAAACTGTTCAACATCTTCACAGCAAAAAAAACCAGTACAAGGTAACATTCCAGTAATGTAGAGTCAGAAAATCTGGAAAACAAGTATTGTACATGAAACCCTTGAGCTGATGAAATAATGGACCAGAGGTGCGTAGACACGTTTTAGTTACGTTTTAGTTACACAAATACCTTCAAAGTAGTGCAGTCTGCGTTAGAGTTAAAAGCAGATATTTTAAATGATACAATACTGGACAACATGGAGGAAAGTGCAGCGTGTTTAAGGTGTTTGAGACCACCATTAGCTAAATCTCGTAATATTTCTATGATTTCAAACCAGATCATACAGACCGTTCCCATGTCTAGCTTAATATATTAGTCAATTAGCATGTAGCTCAATAAGAAAACTTTGCTCATAACAATCATATAATGAGTAAATATCAATAATAAAAGGCCTTTTTTCAGCTGACTAAAGATCAGTATATCTCACTGTCAACAGGTGCATGTTTACATTACACAGAACAATCAAACTTAGGATAGCAATATTAAAGAAAAATCTATAATTTTTGAAAACTATATTAAATTTGTTTGATTTTTTCAGATAAATACCCAGTGGATATATTTTGACCGGCTAAGTGATAAAACAGAAATACTTTCTTACCCATTTGCTTGCAGTCCTGTGCTGAGATTCCACGTTGCAAGTGTACAGACCCAGAACACTATACAGTATTGTACAGACACCATACTTCCTTGTTGACGATGTTCACTGAAGGATGAAAAGAACGTATCACCGCAGTCCTTCCCTTACATGTGAGAAACACTAATATATATACTGCCGAACACTACAACAGTACAAGGAAGGTGATTATTGAACCGTAGTGACTGGGAGCCTCAATTTTGTTGCAATTTGAGTAAATGGACAATTATACTTATTGAGACATCCCTGGGTTATCATATGACTTTTATCTCTTTCAGACGCTGGGAGTTACTTTCAAGCAGTGGAAGTCAGGATCAGTCAAAATGTCGTAGACTGGATACTTTGTTACCATGTCTAGCGCTCTGCAATTGGTGCATAACCAATAACTGATCGGTTCTGTCAAGCTAAACTGTAACATGCATCAGAGCGGCCTTGCACCATAAGCCGATGTAAGTCAAGACAAATACTCTCAAAAAGCGACCCGTGAAGATCCGGGTTAAAATTGGTCTTCAGCAACTCATGCTTGTCGTAAGAGTCGACTACCGGGTTCAGGTGGTCAGACTCGCTGACTTGGTTGACACATGACATCGTAAGCCAATTGCGTAGGTCGATGCTCATAATGTGGATTACTGGATTGTTTGGTCTAGTCACGACTAATTATACATCGCCGCCAGACAGCTGGACTGGAATGTAGTCTTGAACATTAAACAAGCTTGGGGAATGCTGTTCATTGTGTGAACCAACGCTTCTCTAAAGTCAGCTAACGTCAATGGCTGATTCCAGGTTCCATTTCACGCCAAGCGTGCTCGGTGAGGACAGGTCCAGAGAAACTGCTGGACAAGGGAGTACCGGAGTGGTCGGGCATTATCTTGCTGAAACGTGAATTTACGTCTCTGACCTTGAATGAACGGCTGCACATGAGGTCCAATGATCTCATCCCTGTATCGCAGACCTGTCAGATTGCCATTGCCAATGACAAGTTGTGTCCGATTATGAGATGTGATGTTCCTCCATACCATCACGCAATCGCCACCAAACCGAACAGCGTTGAACAATGCACGCATCAGCATACCGTTTACCTCGTCGTTTGTACATCCTTGCCCTGCCATCTGAGCTGTCCCGATCAAATCTCGACAGTGAAGAAAACACCATCTCAATCTTGTCTTCTGTACCGTAGATGCCGTGTGCATCAGGCAAGACGTTGACGTTGGAGCAGAAGTGGACGTCTTGCAGGCTGTCCCTCAATCGGATCCGTATCGTCCTGGAACTGATTGTGGACGTAAGCCAGGAATGGTCCGAGCAGTCAAACTGACAGCCTGGAATCGGTTCCTTAGATGGGTCAGCCGAATGTGGTTGTCTTACTGATGTGACATCACGCATGAACGCCGGTTCGAGGCCAATCTCTCGTGTTCATATTATGTTGAAAACGTCTCCACAGAGATGAGATTATGTTTCGATTGACACCAAAATGTATGGCCACTTCATTTTGGGCCATTCCAGTCTCCAGCATACCCAAGACGCTGAATTTCTGTAAGCCGTGACATGACGTGCAAAACGTGAGTAAGTTCATTGTGCACAAAGTGCACGTGTCACGACCGATACGCGACATCAGAATTCATATTATGTTATGTTATTATCCCCCGCAACAACGAAGTTGCGGGGGATATAGAAACGAGTTCCGTCCGTCCGTACGTCTGTTCGTCCGTACGTCCGTGCGTCCGTCAGACTTTGTCCGAAGCATATCTCCTAAACTGTTCGTGATAGCTTAACCAAACTAGGTACACATGTCACCATGATCCCTAGATGTGTCTTTTGGGCGTTAGACCCAGATGCGAAGTTTATTTTTGTATTACATGACTTAGGCTGTGGCAATGAGGATGTCATCTTGTTGCATTTCCATGGCAACAAGTTAGGCTTCAACTGAATTTGGTGGTAGTGCTCCTTCCTGGAGCAGATCTTAAAAACATTTCAATACTCTCCTTCCACTTTGTTGTATAAACTTCCACTTTGCTGTTATGTTATACACAGTATACTTTCTGAAAACAGTGTTAGAAGATAATTAAGCTTTTTGATTTGATGAGAAGCCAACTTTATTTCTGTAATAAACAGCCAACAACTTAAAAAATTTATGCAATACATTGAAAGTGTAACACAGTACATTCTGACAAATAGGAGAATGTCTTGGTGTTCATTCAAAACCTTTAGACAAAGGTTTAACTTCCTAAGTCTATTTCGTCTGAAATATATATTACTTGTGAAATGTCATTCTAAGTGCTGAATAACAAAAGGAGGTTTCGTTAGGAGACACAGCCATGTGGAATGTCAGCCTGTCAGGCACTCAGGGTAAACTCCGGACACTTAGAGTATAAACATGTGATGGTCGTCACACTAAGGTTAATCGCAAAACACGAAACATATGTTACATGAATGCATCATGTAAACCACATTACTAACTATATGTACATACCCGTCATATCGCTGGAATATTGCTGAGTGCGGCGTAAAACTAAACTCAATAACAACATGTACATACACAAACAAAGGCGAGTTTTGAACTTATACTGAACACTATTTTAATAATTCGGACTGGAAATTCTTGGGCAAATTTAGCTGTCGTTATTGGTGGGAACAAGCATGTGAAGCTTCATTGATAAAATATTGGTCGTGTGGTTTCCGACGAGAAGACATTTAAAGACGCCGGATGCCAGTAAGACATTACTTTCAGTGACAAAACAAAACAAAACAACACATTTTGCATACGTGCAAGTAGCGCCTTTTTAAAATAAAACCTGGGAAAGTAACTTATCAGGAGGTCACCTTTGTATGCACCAACTTTCTTAAAACCCATTCCGGCTTATATATTTGGTCATAATGTCACTTTAGCGTTATTTTGTGAAGATTCTAAATTATTCTCGTTGGTTCTATTACGTACATTTGTAACGTGCAGATACACATATCCACAGATAAAGAAATATATACACGAACGTATAATATACTTACGATCTTGCTTTGGATATACATCCAAATATTGTCGGGGACAAACAGACAGAAATATCACAACTGTTTTCTGTGCTTCTGCTACGACAGTGTTGCATTCAGGGCTACCGTACCCTGGGTATAAACAGGTCTGGATACTGATGCAAGTACGCTGTACCAGGAAGTTGTGAAAATTGCATGACAAACAGCGGTGTAATAAAGTAAAAGAGATCACGCATGACAGCATCCTTCGATCTAAATTTGACAACAACGAACATTGGGTTGCGAAGGAGAAGAAACTTGACATTCCTTGTAAGAGATTCTTTTCCTGAACACTATTTCAGCCCATCTTCATTAAATCATCTGCGTGATCATGATCGACATGCACGAGCAGTAGAGAACAAGGTCCACGTAATCGAATATGATCCATCTTGTTTCGCCATGGGACGATTGGAATCTGATGTCGTCCTTTTGTCGGACCCATACTAACGCCAAGAAACAGTAGGATGGTCGCTGAGTTGCATATATTGTGTATATACTCTCCCAAATAGAAAGGGATAGGTGATATTGATATGATAAATTTCAAATATTTATCAAACTTTGTGTTTGATATGTTATATTTTCGTCATCAAAACGAAATGCATAGTGCTAAAAAGCATCTTCGGAAACTTAAATGCACGTTTACGTTCGAAAGTGTCAACTTGCATGAAAATGTCATGGCGAAAAGGAGCAGTTCTGAGGAACCGTACGCGTGAACAGGAACATTGGTTAGACTTGTTTTGCTTCTAGACGGTTATTGACATTTTTTGCTAAATGCAAAAAACATAGTTATTCCGCGACTCACTGCTGTAAATCGGAACATTGCCATTGGACGTCGGGAGGCTGGGGAGTCTCAATCTGCCTGTCAACATGTACTTCACAAGAGTACCAGTATCTTCAGAATGAGAACATTACAGTGCTTCCATGATCTTTGAAATAGCCCGACCTCAGCCCCATCGAGCATTTGTGGGATGACCTCGACCGACGCGTACGTGGACGTCAACAATCACCCAGACGTCAGATCAACTGTTGCAGGCATTGCAAGAGGAATGGGCCAGAATTTCACAATGTAGGTGCAGAGCAGTTTTGGGGGGCTCATGGCCACAACAGATACTGATGACAACGCCTAACCGGGAACGGATGCTGCAAATGATCCAGAATTACATGTGTTATCTCGCTTTAAAGGTAGCAGATTAAATTTGTGAACATATACCATCCGTTTCTTTTTGGGGAGAGTGAAAAATAATTTTCATTTGACAACAGAGAAACGTAGTTAAAAAATAATCGTATGCTTACGAAGATCCAGGTTAGAATTGATCTTCGGCAACCCACCCTTGTCGTAAGAGGCGACTGAAAGGATTGTGTGGTCAGGCTCATTGACTAGATTGACACATGTCATCATATCCCAGTTGCGTAGATCGATACTCATGCCTGGATTGTCTCGTTCAGACTAGATTGTTTACAGAGCGCTGCCATATAGCTGGAATATTGCTGAGTGCGGCGTTAAACAACAACCAACCAACAAACGGATATGTCAGCGAGTGTGGCATAGTGTTGACTTCATTATCCACGGTGACGTCACAGGTGGACGTTTGGACTGTCTTTCAATACAGCCATCATTACAGCTCGTGGTTTTCATGGGTTTCAGATTGCTGGATTTCATAGTTGCAAATAACTTTTCATAAATTTAAATATGTTGGTTTTCATGCCTTAGCTTTAGAGTTTAATTAGTTGGAAAACTGTCGATAAAGTTCAGCCATGTGGCTTGTATTTAACAATTTTGCACTACATCCTCCCTTGTAAGCATCTAAAGGGACGGTGTAAATGCAGCTAGGGTCCATGCAGGAAGCAAATGTACTGTAAGTCCCCATTGCCGATAGCATGGTGACCTAGCTTCAGATGCTGGCGATCATTACCCCGTTTCATTTGGTATTGTCCTCTATAGTGATAGTGATATCTAACAGTGATATCCAAGTTGTTTTACTGTCCTTTGTCGACAGACTTATCATGTATTTACCTTTTATTAACATATGACCTGTTATGGTCAGGTAAAGGCTGATATATTGCCCATGTGACTTTAATGTTTTACCTCACTTCTCTCCTGTAAAGGATAAAGACTTTATTGTCATGACTTCCTGCTTGTCTTTCAAAGGATTCTTGCAATATACTGCACATCACGCCACTGTATAATTATGGAGAACACCTAACGACAACCTCCATCTGCCGAACGCCGTCAATACACTGGGACGGGTCAAGCCGGGTCGTTTTGCAACAATAAGACATTGTGCGATGTCACAGGGGAGTCTTCGAGAATTCGTCTAATATCGTGAACAAGGAAGTTTACAGAAATGTCTTAAGGGATGAAATACATGCTTGGCTGGTTTCGTGAACATGCTCAGATCAATATCTAACAGGGACACTGTAACTGCTGTCTACGAAAAAAGACTTCAGGGGCATATTTCAAATATTTTTAAAGTAGGTTGAAGTAGTTGCCTACATGAAGTGACATGTTAAATGTCCATATCGACGTCACTGCACGGTACACAGTCAGTGCTCCTCAACAACGCCCACTAACAGGGAAGGTGAAACAACCTGACTCGAGCTTTCCCCGACATTGCATACAGTGCAGTTGCATAATATGTTCTGAAACGAAATGTTGAATTGCATTATATGCATGATTCACTGAATCTGTTAAAAGCATTATCTGAAGGTCCGGGAAGTGTATTGAAAATGCAATCGTCTTTTCCCTGGGGAGTGACATGCACTCTATTGGCATATCGTAACGAATTAGTCATCGTTTGACACTGAATCTATATAAAACCTCCTTTGTCCTTCTTGTCAAAAACTATTTCAAATAGATAATCTGAATGCTCGCGTTAGCAATGCAGGGGCATGGAGAGATTTTCATGCATGCTGACATTCCAAGGTATATTTTGACAAGTGTACAAGGACGACAAATGTTTTAAATACACTTTATGGACACATTGTGTTAATAGTTTTGAAACATTCTGATAGTAATATTACCAATAGTGATGACTATAGTGGTAAAATGAGGTATGGGAAGTATTTCGGTGTGTCGAAAAGGGAAATTATTTCTGTGGGACTGTACTTTCTCGATTTCTCGGGTATATTATGTCTCCTGTGTAAGTATACATGGTTGAGCGATCATGCATATACATCCATTAATAAAATAATCGCACACATAAATCGACAGTATGTAAATAGCATCCGATGATAAAACAGAAGTATACACTTACAAAAATATAGTGTTCTATTTATGTGAGTGAGTTAAAATGTAAAGTCACATCGGCAGTATTTCAGCCATATCGTGACCAAGAAAGTTGTACATATATAAATGAATCAAAATAACGTTAGCAAATATATTTACCTGTCGGCAAAGGACAGTAAAACAACTAGATTATCACAGAAATAAATTTAAAACTAGTAATTAAATCTAAAATACTTTAACTATAAATGACAAGACAATATAAAAACAGGCTATAGATCGCCAACAACTGAAGGTAGATCACCATACTAGGGACCATGGGGACTTACAGTACATTTGCTTCCTGCATGGACCCTAGATGGAGCTATTGGCAATTTTAGATAATCTAGCCATAAATTAAAATAACATATATGCTACGATTAAACATAGTGGTAGGTTTAAATTAACTTTGAACTATTTTGGGATCTAGTTATGTATTAAACAGCCATTTGTAAACAGAATTGACACGTCGAGTTAACAACGAAAACACCAACACAAAAAATCACTTGTACACAAACACAAGCACATTTAAAACATGTTCATGCCTTCAACAAGACGACAGTTTTTAACTTAATTTCTTTTGAATTCCGTATCACTAAAAGCATGCAAGATGCACAAGCAGATTTAATTTTATTTTTTTTCAGGATAAATATTATAGCTGAAGGACCCTTCTTTCAAGATTATAATATGCACTTCTCAAATCAATAGAATTGTTTTAATAATAATAATAATAATAATGAGTGAATCTGTAACGCGCCAATCTCCACGCCAGCTGGTATGCTGTTGGCGCTACAAGTAAAGTTATTTGGGTGAGAGTCTAGACAAAGTACTTCTTAAATAAAAACGTTTTGGGGAGAGTTTTGAAGGAGTGCAGGCTTGGGGCTGTTTTGAGATCTTAGTGCAGGTGTTAATTATGAATTATGTTAAAATGGTCAAAATTCTGTACATCATGAAGAAGGAAAGTGACTTATAGTTAACTTGTGAGCAAACCCTGTTCAATACCCATGCATGTATCATGTCTCTTCATATGAGCACACTCTCATGGTAACCTCAACAAACATGTAATATATCTTAAAGATTAGACAGAACATTCAGGAAAACAATGTTCGAGTCATATGTGTATGAGTGTGTATTTATCATAGATAACAGATAAGGAAACTTCAGCGTGTGCAAAACGCTGCTGCACGTATAGTGACCCAGTCACGTAAATCTGATGACGCTCTGAAACTCCTACATTCTTTACACTGGCTGCCCATTCACTATAGGATTCAATTCAAGCTTCTGTGCCTCACTTTCCGCTGTCTGTCTGGATCTACCCCTTCGTATCTGGCCCAGTCCCTCACACAGCACCGCCCATGTCGCTTTCTCCGTTCACAGGATAAACGTTTCCTCGTTATCCCCACTGTGAGGATTTCTACGTATGGTGAAAGGTCCTTTTCGTATGCAGCCTCTACAGCCTGGAATCAACGACCTCAATATCTACGTGACTGTACAGAACTTTCTAATTTTAAATCTTTACTAAAGACTCACTTTTTCAGATTAGCTTATGAGTGTAAACGATAATTCCTTGCATTGTTTCCATGTATCGCTCTAATCTTTTATTCTCTCTTATAGTCTGTTTGTATGTACATCTATGTCTTGCGCTTTGAGCATGTTGTACATGGAAAACAGCGCATTACAAGCATGCTATTATTATTACTATTATTTATTATTATTATTATATTGATTGTAGCTTGATATGACTTACACGAACCGTAGCAAGTGAAAACATTCCCTGTATATATTGATATGAAAACGGTCGATCTCGCTGGTCTGGAACTATATAACCTAGTCCGATAAAAACAATTTGAGCTTCTATTATACTTAAATCAGGTTTCTCAGGGTCAAAACAGTCTTAAATACACACGAACAAAGCCTTCTTGTAGTTGGTTCAAGGTATGTTTGCAGTCATTCTGTGGTTGTTTTAGCAACAGAAACTAGATATATAACCTCTCGTGTTGTCCATGGTCATTGTATAGAACTGCAAATCTCTTTAATCGATTCACGAGTACAGTTTCTTTCATGCTGAAACCTCTGTGCTTCGTGTATACTTGAGCATGAATCCGACAGCCATTAGTTGCAAGCGGCAGATCAGTTCAAACATCCTGGTAGGGATCAATTAATGGTCAATACAAATACTGCCTCCATCTCGCTCATCTTTGTGTTTATATCTTGTGTATGTTCTCACGTATGGACAAGTCAGCAACAATGGTGTGATATGTAAGATGGGAACAGTTTTACTTGCTTCAATACTGGTCATATTCCACTTTACAGGTAAGTATGGCTGAAATATTGCCGATGGGACGTTAAATAATAACTCACTCACTCACTCACTTTACAGGTAAGATGGGTAAAATGTATATTTAGGAGATAATCCTATTGTGTTTACATTTTGGAAGTGATTATAGTTGGTTGAACGCTGCTAAATGTTTTATTTAGCAACGTTCAACCAACTATAATCAACTTTCAAAATGTAAACACGATAGGATTATCTCCAGTCTACCATGAAATATGCACCATGAATAAAACGCGTTTTAAATATGCACTCATTACCTTTGCGTAGTGTTGTTTACTTTTGTAAGGGTTAATGAGTGCAAAATATTCCTACTCGCAGTGAACCGGCTCTCAGAAGTGGTGTTTAAAAATTTTCACTTCTGTTTTTTTAGTAACAGCCAATCAAAAACGAACATACTTAAATGTCATGGTAGAATTACATTTAACCTACCGTTGTATACGAGGTCTGGTGATCATGGTGTTTTACAAAGGCTACTAAATGGCAGTTACTGGGGGTGTTAAAGTTATTGTAACTGACTCGCGAAGACGGAGACGCTTCGCTGTCTGTATAACGATTATATGATTCCTCCAAACTTGAAGTTGGTAGATCATGCAAGTATATATGACCCAGAATACGACCCTCAGTTGTCCATGAAGGCTGAAGCTGAAGTACTCCCCCCAGAGGCGTGGAACTCATAGGAACAGAAATTCCTAGTTCTCATTTGTGAAAACGTTCAGCGGCGTCAGTATTCTATATTATCCTAAGTTCAACAAACAAACTATTCTAGCACTTTTATTTGTTTTTATGACAGATGTGTATTGCGTGGAATGTCGAGAAACCTCCCTTACTTCTGGCCCATGGTCCTTCTCGTGCCTGTACGGATGTTGTGGGGAAATATACCAGCGATACTTCTGTCCAAGTGACGAGGAGTAAGTCGCTTTATGGCCATGCAAACGTCATGTACATTAACATTTTTTTTATCTTGATCAATGTAACCTAGTCGCTGATGGTCACGTTGATGCAGTCGCTGTGCAGGGTTACGTCTATGTTACGTGTTCTGGAATCAAACGATCGCGGCTTCAAATCCAGAATTCAGACTGATTCTATTTTTGTCGACATGATACACAAGCTCTAGGGATGGTTGTAGCCTGTTAGTCACACGTCCATTTCTCATACGGCCACTAGTCCGGAACGAGCCGGATTAATCAAAACAACAAAGGGCATGCTCCCTACCATATAATAGACTTGCCCGCTTTTCTTGTGTGTGAGAGCCAACTGCTTGTCAAACATAAGTTAATACGTCTACTCTGCACACCGATTGTTTTGAATACGTTCTTAGAAAAGCGATTCGAATTGAACTATTATGCCAATTTAAGGAAATACTCCATTTTAAAACTTAGTGTCTCTTGAGTTCCTGGACGCTGCTAGATATTTGTATCCACCAGACATCTAAACTGACTCTGTGTGTGAAAAAGTACAGAAAGTCATGAAAGTTGTAATTAACGCCAGGATTTTTTATTACTTCGGGTTTTATTCTCAAATTCAACTGATATCACATTTAACCACTATTTATGCATGTAATATGTAACAGTTGCAGACAACCACTAATCATAAAGGCGAGATGGTATATTTACATCTGATCGTGACCGTATGCACAATCAAATTGTAGCCGTCATAAGTTTCTGATGTCCT